ACCGGACGAAAGTGAAGTAGAACGAATTATTATATCTTTAAAAAATAGTCCTGTGACAGGGTGGGATAATATCAGCACTAATATACTAAAAACCTTTAGGAACATACTAATACCGCCACTAACTCATATTTTTAAAATTTGCTTTTCTAGTGGTACATTTCCTAAATGCCTCAAGAAAGCAGTAGTAATCCCTATCCATAAATCTGGTACAAAGGACTTGGTAAATAATTATCGGCCTATTTCTATATTGCCGTCAATCTCTAAAGTTCTTGAGAAAATTATAAATAATAGACTAGTCTCGTATCTCGAAAATAACTCCCTTATATCTAACAAGCAATTCGGCTTTAGAGCCAAATTATCGACAGCTGATGCAGTACATACATTAACTGACTATGTATCAGGAGAGCTTGGACAAAGTAAGCAAGTAATGGGAATTTTCCTTGATTTAGCAAAAGCTTTTGATACGGTATCTATCCCATTGCTACTAGACAAACTGGAGGGGTTGGGAATAAGAGGGACACAGTTGGAACTTTTTAGAGACTACTTGCGGGATAGACGGCAATGTGTAAAAATAGGCAACGTCATTAGTTCCGAATTACTGCTACCGCTATATGGAATTCCACAAGGGAGCGTACTCGGAGGAACCCTATTTCTGGTATACATAAATGACCTATGTAACCTCAAACTACAGTGTGGCACTATTGTATCATATGCGGATGACACTGCTCTGCTGTTTTCAGCAGGTTCTCTTACAGAAGTTCAAAGCTGTGCACAGCAAGGGTTTGATGTCGTAAATAATTGGCTTAAAATAAATCTACTAACAATAAATACTGATAAGACAAAATTTATAAAATTTAATATGCGTAAACCTCTAGCACGTAATGAATTTCACTTGTATGCGCATAAATCAGAATGCTCAATCGTGACTAACGCTTGTACCTGTCCGGAAATTGTAATAACAGATAACATTAAGTATCTAGGAGTTATTCTAGATGAAACCCTTTCCTTTAAACAACATATCGCTGCATTAACATCTAGAGTTCGGAAATTGATATTTGTTTTTAAAAAATTGCGGCTTATTGGTGATCACAAGTTAATTATTCAAATTTATAAAGCCCTGTGTCAATCGATAATCCAATACTGCATTACTTCTTGGGGCGGAAGTGGAAAAACATTGATACTTCCAATCGAACGAGCGCAAAGAGCCATCTTGAAAGTCGCCACGCACAGACCGTACCGCTACCCCACAGGCTTACTGTATGAGTCTAGTAAAGTGCTGACAGTGCGACAATTATTCATACTATCCACTGTACTAAAACAGCATACTACACTTACATATGACGCTAACCTCACTAACGCCAAGAGACGGAAAGATATTGTCTGTACTGCTAGCTATGAATCAAAGTACGTATTTACACATAGATTTTTTGCATTTTTAGGGCCATATCTGTACAATAAAATTAATAAAGAAACCTTGGTTTACAATGTAAATTACACCAGAGCAAAACAGCGCATTTCTCAGTATCTACTATCATTAAGTTATGAAAAAAGCGAGGACTTGTTGATTGTCATGAAATAAATAATATATAGATATAAATAGATAATAATTATTTTAATAAATGCAAGTATAAAGTTAGTGTTTCCTAACTTATGTATACATATGTAGGTTTTGTAATTTTTGGTGACTGTAAAGATAATATTGTTAAGGCTTAGTTATATTATCCTAATGTATAATGCACGCGACCACAAAGCCTGTGGTACAGATTTAATTCTATACAGGCATTGTATTGTAACCTACCTAGAATAGTTAAATAATAAGCTTTGATTAAGTACATATATGTGACCAAAATGGAAATAAATATATAATAAAATATATTAATTAACAACTGACCATTTAATCTGACCTCTGTCTGAACGGGACACTGAATTAAAGGAGATCAATGTATACTGGTGGCAAAAGTAGATTGATTTTATTTGTTAATAAACAATGATTATAAATGTAAGTAAATATTAAGAAAGAAGTGCTAATGTAAGTATCCTGTTGGTTGAACTATTGGAGACGCTGCATAACGGTTTAAGCTTCAGATGCGGCGGTTTATTCCTGGTATTTTGTCACAAGTCTCAAGCTAATATAGATACGTAAGGCAAGACACCTCTATATTCCCTTTGGCGAATATCTTCCTATACTGATTGATGTCCATGACAGGTGCCATAACTGCATTTAATTTTATGGTATTTTTCTTATCAAACAAGTCTTCGTAAGTTTGCAAACATTACCATTTTTTGTACTATTAAAGACATGTAGGTAGATAAACCAGGCTATTGGACCAATAACCTGATTACTCACTGCTCGACATATAGGTACATAAGTATCTCAGGTACCTGCCACCATCTTGTCTTGGCGGCCACCTGTCTACCGCTATATATCTATTAATAGAACTGCTTATCTTAATCTGTCTTATACCTATATCTAACAGATGAAAATATCCAGTATATCAAGTTAGGTAACCTATTTTTTTAGTATTATCAATCAAGTCGGTCATATTAAGTCTTTTTTACATTAACTCGTCGAGTACCGGTTTTGTAGACACAATTATAGAACAATAGGTTGCGGTCACCGGTGACCGCTTGGTGTTTGACAGTTTAAATCCTTATATGAAATTGCCCTTTTTCATGTAATAAGATACATACGTTTTGGGATGTTGCAGTGGACCCAATAATATCTAATGGGAAAGCTTTTAAGTCTTTATAATTTACTTCCAATAATAATGAAACTGACATGACTATCAAACCTCATATTACTCATGGTAGATATTCATGAAGTCAGTAAGTTTCACTAACGGCAAGCTAAGTCAGACATGCAACACTTACGGAGACGCGGAGGACTTAACGGCTCGCTGGAGCCCCGGCCCGAAGAACAGAAGTAGGAACGGGGTGGTTATTGGTAAGTAAGAGTCTGATACTCCCTCTTGCCGCATCCAAGGCGGGAGAAGCCATTCGATGATTTTCCCCTCAAAAAAAGACGTGCAACACTGGAACAATAGGAATCACGAGTGCGTTGTCCCTTCCCGTTGACCCTTTAAAGATAATAATCTAAATTACTGTGCACATTATTTTTTTGCGTTACCAATTCTTTTTTGGACCGACTTTTAACCACTATCTCGCCTGGTGGAAAGCGATGATGCGGTCTACGATGGAGCACGTATAAATAAAAATATTATACTTATAAATATTTGTTGTAGTATTTCTCGAAAGTAAAATTTAGTATCATAACATAAATGTAACAATTGAATTATCATCTATAGAATTCCGTAAACTATCATACGCATGTATATCCTGTACCTTTATGTGACGCTAATCTGACGTAGATAATACTTATTCAATATTATGTTTTACTAATTCAATTATACCCCATGACATAAGAGGCGATTGACTCCTTATTTTTGGGCATACTCGTCATTACAGTTTACGTCAAATAGCCTAAAGAAACGGTGTTTTTGTTTAACTGACACCTTTTTGTTAAATGACGTGAAGGAGTCGTACTTATATAGAATTGTTTTTTTTTTTAAATAGGTTAGCTACAAATGTACAAGCGCATGTTTTTACATGAAGTTTTTAAGGTATCATTGACTAAATACTTTGTAAAGAAAATGGCTACCTACGTCTTCATTTTAAAACTTTCTTGAGACATAATTAATTAATTATTATGTTGTCGGTAAAACAGTTACGTGAGTAAGCCGAAAACATAATAATTACGCTACTTACGTCTCCTTCTGAACATTTAATTATAGAGTTTCATGCTCGTCCTTCTCCATGCGCATCATTTCAAACAAACAACTAGTAGCTTCACTGGCAGACAGTCTGCCAGGTTCTAATTTAACAATTCAAAAGTTCTTGTGTGTACCTACATTAATTTAAATAAATACTTCGACTGACATTTCCATCAACTTTAAAGTTGCCGGGGTAGGCAGAGGTGCACATAAATCGGGGATAAAAGGCGTTAATAATTAATTCGTTGATTCGTGTGAATTATTTAAACCAGTATTCCCTTATTACTATTTTGTTATGAAATCAGGAAGAAAATTTATATTCCAGAAATATTTTTTTTACAAGTTATTTTTGTTATTAAATTCTTTCGCAGGACTACCACAGTTATTTCGTCATCTTTATTATCGGGGATGTAACTCAGTGGTAGAGTGTCTGCTTCGCATGCTGAAAGTCCTGGGTTCAAATCCCAGCATCTCCAAATTAACTTTTTGCATTTAAACAAGTCGTATTGCGTACGTTTTTACTACCGATATTGATTTTCTCATGTTAACATTATTATTCAGTATTTATTGGGCATGTATTTATAATTGCTATTAAGTACTTTCATAAGCACTTCAAATATGCAATGTTAGTAAATTAACACGAAAAAAAAAACTATTTTAACTTAAAATAAACCGTTTGTTTCATTTTTTGTGTATCAAATATAAATCATTTATGTCATTAAGTTTAAACTGAATAATATTATTCACTGAATAAAAATTGGGTTTAGGATTATCTTTTGTTTGTTATGTTCGCACAGTAAATAATACTGTACAACTATAATTGTTTATAATTAATTATTGCCACATCTCGTTCAATGTTTTATTTAGAAAATTGCATCATTTTCCACACCAACCTTCATATTGATCGTATACTTTACGAGACAGACTACCGCCATCTGTCGATTAGTCCACCACGTTAAAAAGCTAAAGTTGTGTACAGCGCCACCTATGTTTTATAAAGAAAACTTTATGCCGTATACAATTTTATTTACTTTGTATTGTATTAGATTGAAAATAATAAACTACAGATGTGGTATAGCAATTCCGTCCGTATATAGTATAGAGGTATAGTCCACATAAAGAACTCTTTGATAAGAAGCAACCAATTTCGTTTAAAAGGAATTAACTTCAATGAACTTACAAATATAACAAGAAAAGTTATATATACCTCAAAATAAAACAAGTTTTTGGAATAATATTTTAATGAAAATTCAACTAAACGTATAAATCTTATTTATACTTACAATAAACAAGTAAAGTGGATAAATATTTACATTCAGCTGGGGTAAGACCCTCGCATATGGTGGGTCCCCCCCAAAATTGCACTAACAAAAATATGGAAGCCCATATAGACTCCCTTTTCGTTCGGCAGCTGGTTAAGAAACGGAAATTAGTAACTAAATTAATTACTTAATAAAAAAAAAAACAATATTTAACGTTCCCACAAAAGACTGCACAATATAAAGGTATATAAAGGTCTTCAGAACATTGTACTTATAAAAAACAAAAACCCTCTGGAATCAAACCAATCCTTGCTTCAGGTAATATGATAATATCGAACTTTGTGCTAATAAAGTATTATTCTTCAATTGATTTGTAAGGCTTTTGCTTCCGCAAGACAATTATTATAAAGATAAATTCCCAGCACTTAGGTAAACTATAAAGTAATTAAAGAAATACACCCACATTTAATGAACTCATACGAGTCAAAAGTACTAGACTTAACATTATAAGCAGCACTGATAAAGTTTAAAACCTAGGCTAGAAGTCTCGATATAGTAATAATAGCGACTGAAATCGGTTGCCAAGTCGAAGATTTCCCTAAAAGACTTTCAACTTTATGTGATACATAAACATAGAATAGAAAATCTCATAAAGAAATTCACAACTTAGCAATCAATTTCAGTCCTTTATAACTGTCGAGACTACCAGTCTTAATGTTTATTGTTTTGTTATCATCGAAAACGATGACATGAACGAGTGATGACTAGAATATAAAAACACTGAACCAGCAACCGAACGAAGAACAGTATAACGAGTAAACATTGTATAAGTTAATTATTATAAGATATAATAATAACGCAGTCTTAGTACGCCGTGGCCACTGTTCGCCCTTACCCTAGTGAGACCGCTCTAGTCTATACTACGGCGCTACTCGATACATACGCTACACAAAGAGGACGGAAAGAATGGAGTGCACCATGCTACACCTCCCCAAACAGTACTTGTTATATAACATCGTCATGTGAGTTCTTCAGATGAATTGTTAACAGATGGCTACCAAGCATGGTACTCCATTCCTTCTCTTCTCTCCGTTGCTACCCCAAGAACATCTAACCTGTATGTGCGATCGTCGTTGTAGCATTACTGAGAGATATGGCACTAATTGTTAATATTGCTTATTTAGACGAACATTTGCAAAACATTGATTCGTGTTCAGAATAAAATGTATCAAAAATTGTCTCCGTTAAAGGAGAAATACAAAATCTACGGATATGTGGTCGTTACTGTCGCAGTAAAAATGTAAGAAAAGATGAACACAAGCATGAACTAAGCAATGGTGTTTCTGGTACAATAATCACATTTTCCAATTGTTCGAATATCCAGTATAGCTACAGAACGACGTCATTTACCATCTAATCTAGATACTACTAATAAAATGACGCTACAAGTATTATGGAAGATAATGAAAGTGGCCTCGCCTACACGGAAATAACAATACTACACTAACTAACTGACAGATAAACTGACTAGAACTTATGGAGGGACTAGAGAAAAGGAGTATGTGGAACAACTACCTGCCGTTCACGCTCTAAATAGATGGGAGACTTCAGACAGTGCACATTGACTAGACGGGGTTGATAAAGTTTCTTGAGAACTTTGGTGTACCTATTTGGGATAAATATTTAATGTAAAATTATCAAGTAACAACCTAATATTTCTTCTGAAGATCTTGAATGTGGCAGGTCTCATGTCGAAAGTCAAATACTCGACAAGCTATATGAAACTTTCATAGCATTCAATTCGCGTGTCTGATGAAAGTGTATCTTTGGTATCGACGAGAAGAAACCAGCGTTTCTATAAATAAAAAAGATCCCTATGTGCACTAGACTCATAAATTACAAAATAATTGACAATAATGTAAACAAACAATAAACAACTTAACAAGATGGTACAATAGATAAACAAAAAACAGATGACTATCACGATGTGAACGAAGAAGTTGGCAAAGAAGGGAACAATCATGATATCGATCTGCGAAATCCACTAACAATGAGTATTTTTCGCAAAAGATGTAAACAACAGTTTATATTTAAATGCTCAATAAGAACGCATCATTTCAAACAGTAGAAGTATAAAAATTCTGCCAACAAATAACAGACAATGTATAACTACAATATACGCTCTGCTCTCGAAAACCGTTTACAAAGAAGATTATGGAACTCAACATTTAAGTTAGGAAAGCTAGCAAATTGGATGAAGGATATAGTAGTACAAGAAGCAAAGATTTCGTTCAAGAGATAAAGAAGAAGTATCTACATTACATTCCTTCCTATTATTGTCCTTCACTACATTCCACCCTAGACACAAATGAGAGCAGTGTGATGATTTCTAAAAATAATCAACTACCATATTATAAAAAATCTTTCAAAAATGTTGGCATCAGAGTTGCGTGAACTGGCATCAACTACTTGATATTCTAATAAGAAGGTCTAATACCTAGGAAATGCGGGACGGGAAGGGGACAGTTTGGCGGCTATAGGGAGTCCAGTCGTGTCCGTTGCACCGCTAGTAGAGCCGATTGCTGCTGCAGACTCTTACGTAGACCTTCCAACGTTTGAAGAACCTGATTACAAAAATATATAATTAAAATACAATTTGCACACTTCTTGAGCCTCAGCCATTGCTATTGCTATGAGTTATATGAGTAGGTGTTCTTACACCTACTTTTTACTTTGCTCCTGAACAAAATGTTGTTCATGTAAAAGATTACATGTAATCTTTTATATTTTTTGATAACCATGTGTTCCCAAGTATTATTAATTTTCAGTTTTCTAGACTAAAAAATAGAAATGCTAGAAGAATGTTACGTTATTAAGTAAAACTAACAAAGCAATTAAAATCATTCTCAATAACAAACCATGAGATCATCTAAATAAATAAAACGTGCGAATAAGACTGACCTCATCCCGAGCATAAGCCTTCCTTTTGGGGGGCTCGGAGTGGGGTCTGTCTGTCGGCGAGGGAGGAGTGAGCCGTCGTGCCACCGGGGGTGGTGGCGGAGCAGCCAGTGGGGAGCGCCTCGCGACAGGGGACAAACGACGAGGAGGCTCGGGGGAGTTTGCACGCATGAAGTTCGTAATATGAGTACGCTCTGGACTTCTACGGGGAGCTTCCACCTGACAACACAAGGTTTGGGCGATTGTAACACTACAAAATCGATAAAATATCAAACGAAATGGTAGTATAATTTGTAGTCAACATGCATCGAAAATAAGACACAAAGAGAATATAGTACTAATCAGAGATATAGTAAATTTATTGCTATAAGTAATCAAATTGAGAATCTTGCAGGCGTTCAAAATTACAAATAAATAGAAAGAATCTCAATAAAATCTCTAGGTGCCTATAATAATTATGTAGAGCTAACTTAAAATAAAGTCGTTAAAAATCTATCTCACCTCAGTAGCCCTCAACTCCCTTACTCTTGGATTGTGCGGTGGTTCAAGCGGTGCTCGTGACACAGTGACCAGTAATTTCTCCGCTTCCCTGATGAGTTCCCTGTACTTCCTTTCTGCCTCTCTGTCAGCCTCCAGCAAAGGATCTCGTTCTCGGACTGGTGGCGCTGAAGGTGCGTGGTTGCGTCTACGCATTCGAGGCGGCGTCGCTCCTGAAAACATGGCTAATAAATTTAAACCATATAGGTATGTCTGTATTCATAAACCAAGGTTAATGTTACTGTGAACAAAAAGCAAGCAAAAGAAATAATTTGTGAGTAATATTCATTAAACCTTTTGTAATATCTCGATAGATATACGATACTATCAGCTCTATATCAGAACAAAGATAGATAAACTAAGAAACTGAATTCAATTTTAAAAAGATGGCATTTTGATATTCATTAAGTGGTTATTTAGTCATTACATAGTCATTCTTACCTGCCGACCGTGGTGGTCGTCGCGGAGGCCTTCGTCTCCGTGCCCTTCGTCTCCCAGGCGAAGCAGTTTCATCATCATCTTCATCTCCACCATCTAGTCCAGTGTCTCCGTCTGAATCGAAGTCAGCATCAGATAATATGGCGGTCTCTCGACCTCTGGCTCTCATTCCCCTGCACTCTTCGTCACTGGAAGCTCCGCCGCGGTAGTAAGGTGATCTATGAGGCTCTGGTGATAAGTGAGGGGAGAGGTGCGGTGATCTGAAATTGAAAGTGGTGTTGCTTGAGTTATTTAGTCTTCATATATTTTTTTTATGGAATAGTAGGCAAATGAGCAGACGGATCACCTGATGGTAAGCGAAGCGATCAGCGCCGCACACGGACACCCACAACACCAGAGGAGTCACAGGTGCGTTGCCGGCCTTTTAAAAAGGAGTACGCTCTTTTCTTGAAGATTCATAGTGGTCTGTTATCTTACATTTCTTGGCTTACATACTTACTTACTGTTATACTTACGGCATACATCGCGTCCATGTCATGCCAATAAATCGACTCAAATTCAATGACAATAATAACAGGACCATTATTTGTAAATCCACTTTTCAAATATGCACATTTACCTGTCTACATGATAAAAATCTGTGAATTATTCCTACTATCTAACTCAACCAGAAATGCAAATATCCACGTTGACTTAACAAAGCGTCGAGTCTAATTGAATTATCATTTAACTTCGTAAACATAGTCCCACTGACCTAGTTTATGTAATTGTTACCATTTGAATAGAGCAGGTAACTTTGTGTATTACCTATTGTGTTACCATTACTACTCGCCAATAGAAACGGTAGTTCTTATTCCGATTCCTATCCAGTTAGTGGGTACTAATGAATTTAGTAATAAAAAGGCCACATGCTTAGGCGTGTCATATATGCACGTACTGCTATCTACAGTGACGTAAGTACAGGGTGGCAACTCGGGAAAATACCACGGGCCCCGAGCCGGGACGGGTCCCAGTTCAGTGATTCGCATCTGAACTATAGTTTTTTTATATTGGGAAGGGCGGCTTATCCAGTTAATTTGTCACTGACCCCGAGCGGTATAGTTAAAAGTTTAACATTAAAATAAATAAAATTGTTTAATAAAAGAATATACCACGAAACAGCCACGATAAACAGTTGCAAATCATTCGATTCTGACTACTGAAAGTGAATATAAAGACGTAAAACTAATGATACAAGTAAAATTCCAACTCACAACCTCTACTTACATGCCATAACTATAAAAAAAAAAACAATATACAAATTAAATGAAACTTTACCTCGACCCATACTTGACATGGGAATCAAGGGAATATGGAGCATGATGTAGTTGCGGTTGTGTTGTGGGTGGGCACTGCAGGGAGTGCTGATGCACTATATTCTGAGGTCGTCGCCTGCTGGGTGAAGTTGCCCCCATCCACGGATTGGTTCTGATCCGACATCGTGGCCGAGGGGATGGTGTCGCACAAACTACTACGGGTACCGGCGCTGGCTCTGGTATGCAGCGACGGACGACCACGTTAGAACGACGCTGCTGGAATTTGAAAATTAAATAATGGTTTTAGGTGTGTTTTTTTGTTAAAAAGTATTTAGCCTCCTCCGGGAGATACGAGTCGTGATTTTATTTATGACGATATTCTATAGAAGTTTATAATAATATTCATTTGATAGTAAACTATGCTTGAATTACTGATTAATTTTTTATTAGTCTCTGAAACAGCTTTAACGAATTACATTTTTATCTACATAAAAATGTATGCATTTTGCGTACGTACATAGTATGTGCATACAATAATTACATAGTTATTACTAGATATACATAAGCTCTTGTACTTTTTATAAAAATGTAAACTAACCCCATAAATATTAATAAAACTTTTACTATACTTTAATATATCTCAATAAAGTTACAATAATGTGCAACTTTATCTACAGCTTTAAAAAATAGAAAACGTGATGTTACGCTGTTTAATATTTATGAAAGCAAAAGCAATAAATAGTACTAAAAATATTAACATCTGCAACTGTACTTACATCATAATTTATTTTTTAGCTACTAGCAAGAAGTTGTACAGTTATAAATTGCAATGTCAATTATTTCAGGATCAGGATAACATTTTTTTTATCAACGAGCCCCCTATGAAGTAAGGGGGCATTGTCAAAAATTGCGCTCGGACTCCCTGACGGCAGCCGGGCGCGGGTATACAAGAATTAACTTGCGGGTGTCAGCATAAGTGCTCTCACTTTACGATCACTGCGCACTATGCTCCCCGAGACAAGGAAAGTCACTGAGTGCGCGGCGAACGCGGCGGAGACCTAACCCAACCGCTGTAACCAAACGATAGCGCGATTCAATTCGACGCTAACGCCATCTAGTTAGGAATTTGGAAACTCGTGCTAGATTGTAGGCGTACATTAGAAGCATGTTGAATTTTTTCGCCAGCTGTGGTTTTGTAAACTGTGTTCATATTTTGGCAATTGATGTTTGAAGAATTTTTAAACATAATTTAGATCTTTCCTAAGAGTCATAACTAGAACACTGCTAAACAACATAACATCAAACCTTTTAATCGCCAAAGGGGCAGGCAGAAACGCACATTTAAAATATCACGCCCTCTTTTTATCCATTATGAATGTGTAACAATGAGTACCATGTCCAATTCCATAAAATTAAATAAGGTACAAAATACCTTGATAATAAAATTATAAACAAACATTTAACAACGTTGGTCGAGTGGGGTGAAAGTTTCAGGTTCGATTTCCGGACCGGAAAACGTATTACTGGGTCTGAATTTTATTTTTTATTTAATTATATCCGGTGACAATAACTTGGGACTCATAACATAACTGAAGAAAAATGTGTGAGTAACAATCTCTGCCTACCCCTTCAGATATGCAAAGGCATTTTTTTAAGGGGGGAAAATCATCGAATGACTGCTCCCGCCTAGGTGAGGCGGGAGGGAGTGTCAGACTCTTACTGACTAAAAACCACCCCGTTCCTTCTCCTGCACGTCGAGCCGGAGCCTCGGTTACCTCGGTTATATGCAAAGGCATAACTTCATATTACGTGACATTTAACATAAAACGAAGATAAGTTAGTCCCTCTATAATTGAAACTGTTGTCGGGCTGGTCGGTTTTAAATAGCCCTGGAGGTCCACCCTTCAATTAGTACGGTCTACTTCATTAATAAAACGCGGGTCCGTATATAAGCACTTGTGGACCAATGAACGCAACGTATAGGAGGCTCCCGTACTAAAGTTATTGAAGTTTATTTCATATTTTATTACCTCTACATTATACTAGTTTTGTATTCGTAAGTTTGTATTATATAAATATTTCTATGTAAAAGTGTAGTTCGTAATGTATTTAGTATCGAATGCCTTTAATTTGAGTTTAATAAATGTGTTTCGTCGTATTTTATTTATAGACTAGCTGTTGCCCGCGACTTCGTCCGCGTAGATTAATGACTTCTGACAGAATTAACCAGAATCAATTCAGTGCCCAAGTAAGATTTACCTATTTAGATATGATTTATCGTAGTTTCAATAAATAAATAATCCCGCAGGGATCTTACCAGTACAGTGCCCGATCACGTAAGGTTTGAGTAATAAAAACTATTCTATCGACTATTGTTGTACCGAATCTCTCTAGAATAAGTTCAGTGGTTAAGAGTTAGAGAGTCCTGGGGCATTGACGCATAGTTCCCGTTCTCGTGAGACATCTGTGAAAAAACTATCATACGTTACCCAGGTCCTAAATCATTGTTTTACCGAATGTAATTCAAAAAGATTCAATGATTCTAAATTCAACGGCTAAGAAGATTTATACAAACTCTCATTCCCTATTTTATCCCCTTAGGGGTGGAATTTATCAAAATCCTTTCTAAAGAGATACCTATGTCATAGTAACTTTATGCATGCAAAGTCTCAGCCCGATCAATTTAAAACTGGCAAAGTATCATACTTTGGGGTGAGAATGTTCAAAAACCTTTCTAAAGGGACGTTTACGTCATAATATCCATCTGCACGCCGAATTTCAACCCGATCGGTGTAAAACTGACAAAGCCTCACACAAACGTTCATCCCCTATTTTACCCCCTTGGTGGAAATTATCAAAATCCTTTCAAAGCGGATGCTTACGTCATAACATCTATCTGCATGCCAAATTTCAACCTGATCGGTTTAAAACTGACAAAGGCTCATATAAACTTTCATCCCCTATTTTACCCACTTGGGGGTGGAAATTATCAAAATCCTTTCACAGCGGACGCCTACGTCGTAACATCTATCTGCATGCCAAATTACAACCCGATCGGTTTAAAACTGACAAAGGCTCATATAAACTTTCATCCCCTATTTTACCCACTTGGGGGTGGAAATTATCAAAATCCTTTCATAGCGGACGCCTACGTCGTAACATCTATCTGCATGCCAAATTACAACCCGATCGGTTTAAAACTGACAAAGGCTCATATAAACTTTCATCCCCTATTTTACCCACTTGGGGGTGGAAATTATCAAAATCCTTTCATAGCGGATGCTTACGTCATAACATCTATCTGCATGCCAAATTACAACCCGATCGGTTTAAAACTGACAAAGTCTCATACAAACTTTCATCCCCTATTTTACCCCCATTGGGGGTGGAAATTATCAAAATCCTTTCACATCGGATGCTTACGTCATAACATCTATCTGCATGCCAAATTACAACCCGATCGGTTTAAAACTGACAAAGTCTCATACAAACTTTCATCCCCTTTTTTACCCCCTTGGGGGTGGAAACTATCAAAATCCTTTCTTAGCGAATGCCTACGTCATAACATCTATCTGTATGCCAAATTTTAGCCCAATCTGTCCAGCGGTTTGGGCTGTGCGTTGATAGATCACTATGTCAGTCAGTCAATCAGTCAGGCAGTCAGTCAATCACCTTTGAATTTTATATATATAGATACCATTGTGTCGTCAAAAACGTATGTTTTAATATCTGGTGTCTACAATAATAACATGTTTAACTCCTAACTCCTAACCCTTGTATGGTGTTAATTTTCTAGTAGATAAAATAAATCCCCATATTTTCAATCCCTGGAAAGCTTGTATCACATGTAATGTTGAGTGTCCTTGGCAGCGCCTATTGCTTACCATAACATAACATCACGCCTTTTATCCCCGAAGGCGTAGGCAGAGGTGCACATTACGGCACTTTATGCCACTGTACAATGTAACACCCCCGTTTTACTACTTATGTTATGAATCCCATGTAATAGTGGGTGAGCCTATTGCCATATACCGGGCACAATTTCAGGCTCCGTGCTACTACTGAGATTTTTTTTAAAACCCAGTAATACTTTGCCCGACCCGGGAATCGAACCCGAGACCTTTGTAGGGTCGTACTTGCGACCGCTTGGCCACAATTTACCTAATTACCACGAGGCTCATTTAAAAGTGAATAATATTACAAAAAAACTAAATTGCTAAATCCCAATGCTCCAAAGCCAACACGCCTCACATTGCATTTCCTTTTCACTCCGTCCTCTCACGTGTATGTGTTGTCATATTAAATTCAAAATGTCAATATTGTCTTTGTGTCAGACGGACGAATCTGAATTTCTGATTTCTGAATTGAAAACTGTGCGTGAATAAATTACATGTGTCGTTAATTTCATTTGTTTACTTTGGATGCATCGGGTTAATGTCCATAATCTGTATATATCGGTGCAAATGAATAATTAACTCGTCGAGTACCGTCATTATGGACACAATTAAAGAACAATAGGTTGCGGTCACCGGTGTCCTCGCTGTGTTTGACAGTTTAAACCAGATTATTAGATATTCATCAATATAAAAAATTATATTGTGTTAATTAAAAAATTAACTAAAAAGGGCAGCCAGTAAGTAGGTAGGTACTACAGTTACCGTAATTACAAGTGTCTTATGATCTAATTGAAACAAATTATTTGATTTTTACAGCGAATATAACATTGATACATTTACCGAAATGAGATTAGATTTATAATACAATTACTTAATATAGTACACACTATGTGTGCAATGCCTTACATCTCGACACGTGAAAGTCGATATTTTGCAATCGTCCCGCCCGGAGACTCTCATCATATAATTCCTTATAATCTTTGCACCTATCTACATTTCATTAACCGATAGGAGTTTATTTACAGTTCGATTATTGTCCATATGTTCGTACGCGAGGCGTAGTAGGAAATACAAAGCCGTCAGGTCCGGTTGTCAAACAAAGATCTATAAGTGTTCAGTCAAAGATGGGTTCGAGTTAATCTCGTAGTACCTCTAGAGGAGTTCAAAAGTCATAATAACTTTCAAGTAAAGTTAATCTCTTATTTAATGATATTAAAACCTAAAACCGTCATATTTTAACTAATAAGTTATATATCTCTTCTTGTTCCGATTTGTTCACGGGCTTGGACGAGGCAGTGAACCTAATAAAATATTTGCGCATTGAACCTAATAAAATTTACGACCTTTGGACAATTTTCAGGTTTACATCATAGAAATTTTTTTATTTATTTGAGTACCTATAGAGTTATGGCGCACTACATAAAATTTTATTTCACCATACAAAAGTTGCATTAAAATTACAATCCGAATTCTCGTAAAAAGTTTACATAGGAACCACTAATTCATATTTAAAAGGAACGGTCCTTACATCAACAAGGAGTAAACCCATAATAGAGATTATTCTTGGGCCCACCGGCAGGCTGTTTGCCAAACTGTTTAAACTCTCATTTCAGGGATACACGCGGCCTAAGCCGCTATCCAAAAGTACTTTATGGGTAAACAAATATATACTTATATACCTTGGCTGGTTCGTGGTAGAGATGTGTGGTCGGTGGCGCAGGCGGCGGCGGTGGGGCCACGAGCGGAGCGGCGAGCGGGGCCGGTGCTGTTCCAGGAGAAGTGCCATCTGTGGAGTATCCCGTGCTGTACGCACTCTCCGGCGAGGACAGGTGAGGAGGCGGCAGAGGTCCCGTAGTCGTAGTCGCCGCTGTCTGACGCGCCTGCTTCTGCTTACGCTTCTTGGCCCGCCCCAGCTGCGCCTCCATCCATGACTTGAGCCGCGCGCCCAACATGCCGACAACGGCACCTATAACAAAGTCTAGCCATGTCTATCTACTTCGTGCACGCTCACAATTTAGAATGCAAATACATTACTTTTTCAGATATTACGCAAAACTTCTATCCAATATTATCAAAGCACGAACATTGTTCATGTCATCGAATTTCATAACCAAAGATTAAAGGGGAAAATCAAACATCATTTCGCAAAAGGAAAGTTCACTGTGTCGTGAACATTGGCAGGTACGTGCCAACGTGCGTCACGTCGTTTACGCCTCGGTACACGAGAAAAACATTTTCGTCCGCGACACTTGAACAAAGGTTTTGGGAAAATACATCAGACGCTCGACGAGCACCGAAACAATTGTTACCCTCACAACGGCCGCTCTACATTTCCCTGTCATCCAAACCAACGCAGAGAAGTAAACAAAAGTGGCGACATAAAATGTTTTATCTTGTTGTCGTTTCATTGCGAAGAAAATGCCATTAACGGGTATCCGTGGGGCTCGCACCAACCAGTAACCAGAAAGTACTACAGTACTGATGCGAGCCCTCGTGTCATATTTCAAGAAAGTCTAGCGACGCTCGTAAAAAAGGGCGCAGTCGGCACCCTCTTCATTTCCATCGGTAGCACATCTTACAAAAAGTAAGAATTATACCCAGTATCTATCGTCACGATATTTTTAATCAACTGGAGTACTGATTCCCGATAAGTAGGGTAGATAAAGCGCGAAGACAAATTGTTATTAGACAGCTGGATTCAAAGAAAGCTATACACAATCCGAGCCTCGAAGAGCGGCTAAATCCAAAACAAACTGTAAAAGAAAGGCGATGCAATTTTCGCTATAATAACCACTTTTTGAACTACATATACACAAGACTATTAAGCCGATGCGAGCAAAATCCAACTAAAAAATGACTGACCCCTCAATCTACTTGGATCGCAATCAATCATCAATATCCTTCATTCAAAAACCTATTACTCACTTTGGTACCCGCCGCCGGGCCGCTGCCGCTGTACGAGTGTACGTATACATGCTAGTACTTAACTAACGTTTCGACGCTCCAACCCTCGCTGGGCTGTGGGAAACGAATCGCCGGATAAAAGACGGATGGAACAGACTTATCTAGTTCACTGAGGGGTGTAAACTTACGAGATTTAGCTAATATTAGCAATCCATTACGGGGAGGCCGCAGTTGGAAAGTTTATTTAACTATCAATCCGCACTCGGAACTATACGCTCGATAGCTCAGCGCTGATGAAATATTGATTGAACCTCTTAGCGATACACGTTTCACTATTAATAGCGGATTATGTAGATGTCAGAACAATGCAGTGTGCGTGAGGTGAGGATTTAGAGATACATTCATATCTTATGCGTAGGTAATACGAATGTGTCTTAATAATTTATGTAGTAAGAACTTGGTGATCTCCCCAAAGGATTAAAGGAATATTGCTTTTAACACACAAACATGTAAGAAATATAAATGAAGAGAGAAATATATTTCATTTGAAGTGTTCCCAGTTTCCATTAGATTCGCGGTAAAGTTCACTTTGAACATTCGTTTTTGAAATCCACATAACATAACATGTCATATCATGTAGCACCTTATCGCCAAAACCGTTGAATCCTCCCCTGAGGGTTTAACACGGGCGTTGAAACCGTCTTTTCCACAGTTATGTATAAGGGGAAATGAAATAGAGGGTGAGGCAATTATCGTGTATTGGACTGCGCTGGCTGGATGGTTTTTAACTGCTTACACACGGCAGTAGTTTGAGAATTTGAAAAGCATTCTTATGTTCAAGAAATGTGTAAATATTTGCAAGACTGTAAACAAAGCAATATTTTCAAAGACCCTATACTAAAAGTTCTACCATTTGTTTAGAACAATATAACAAAAGGAAAAACCAGATCAGACAAACAGAAACTATTTACGAGAACACTTGTCGCATACAATAAAAGGTTCAATAAAACTCCAGAGCCTTCCAATAAGATGTTTTACGAACCACAAGCCCAGCTTGAGTAATGAATCGAAAGCAAACTAATAAATTGTGGCTTCGGGACAAAGTATCCAAGTTTGTCGCAGATCCCTTTTTCTATCGAAACAACTTAAACAAATGTGAAGGCGGCGAGGAACCGAATCGCCTTATCAATAAAACTGTCACCGTACCCAGTGTACATGTAAATAGCTACGTAGTTTTCCCAAACTTTTAGTTTTTTGTTCGACTAAAGTTTTAACTGGCGCTGTCCCTTTTGTTATCTTGTTTGCGGCTTTGCTAGCAAACTGATCTTACTTGGTTTGATTTAGTTTTTGAGTTCCGTAGTGTTGAGTCTCATATGCATTAACGTTGTTGTAAAGTTTTCCAATTTGAAAATCGGACGATAGAAATGGCATATCTCTAAAATCGACTGAGAGTGTTTCATTGTCTAATCTAATGATTATTTAATTAATTAATTAAGTTTTTATAATAACTATCGTGAGACATACTAAATTAAGTAAAATCGCGGGTTACTCACGTGAATACACTGAGAAAAGCTCTACTAGTAGCTCACTGAGCTGCGCGACGTCGCCGCGACCGCGCACGCTGCTCATGAGGAAGAACCCCTCTGTGGTTCGAAACTAATAGAGCTTTTCTCAGTATATTCACGTGAGTAACCCGCGATTTTACTTAATTAATTAATTATGTTACAGGTGTAAAGACGTCATCATTGTAATTCCATCATCATAATCTCAATTGAGAATGCTTTGTCAATGAGTACTTTGTAACGTTCACATATCACAAAACACCAGTTGAATGTAGTTTAATCAACCAATTACGTAAAATAGCTCCCATTTCAGTCTTTTATTCTCAATGTAATCAATTTCGAGAACATTCGAGCATAGATTTCCACATGATGGCATCTCATCACCGAAATCACGTCATGATACTTTATTCTTTTCATATAATCTTCAATAATGTATCCGCCATTATGGTGAACAAACGGATTGCAAGCGAACAATTCACCCGACCGATACCAAATTGGAATACCGTCATGTCGAAGGCAACATTGAATGAACACCACATTAAGGTACCCATAGTTATTGGAAATTGAACAAGGTTCGATGTCTATTGTCCCGAAATACAATCGTATTGAAACTGAAATATGACGTCAGCTATGAGAGGAATTAGGCTGTAGTGAACCAATATTTGCAAACGAAAATGGACCGGTGATGATCAAATATTTGTGTAATACCTAAATTGGCTAATGGCAGACCTATTAGTATGAAGATAAGTTATCGACTACTTTGCTAGTTTAGGTAATGAGCAACAAATTTTTAAGCAGTTATAAAACAACTGGCTACGCGGTACGTAAATACGCTGCTACGACAAGAATTATAAATGGCATAACCGCTTGATTGCTTCTTGCAACCACAGTTGCAAAAAAAAAGTTGTTAATTTTGCTTCGTGCAACCGTGGTTGCAAGGCGACGAAGTTTGTTTAATTCAATTTAGTCTCTATACCAAACGCATAGAGTCGTAGTAGTATGTATTTAAACCAGAGACCATTTTAAGACACGTGTATGCGGCGTACACGAGGCATCGTGATGTGAAGGCGCCTTTACAAAGCAGTTATAAGTAATAGAGTGACAATGTTGCCAGAAAGAATAATATTTTCCGTAGTAAGCACTTTCTTCTGTTTTTACATTTGTACCCCCTATGTACGCCGTACGGTATTCAATTTACGGATTATGTTTGTATGTTTGCAGGTGAAAAAAGACTCCAATAAATAATTTTACCATTCGAAGAAGTGAAAGTATATTTGTGTAAATAATGTATTAAAGTTTCATAGGCTAGATGTAAAAGCCTAAGCGCTGAATTGTTAATAAAGCTACATTTTCACTAAAACTTTCGCACCACTTCTATAGATATTATTTATTCAAAACATAAAGCGAACAATCAACAAAGTGTATTCTTGAGAGGAGTTGTAATTTAGAGGACCTATTGTTCGACGTTTCTTAGTACAAAATATAATACTAAAAAGAAATAAAGAAACAGAAATGAACGGGAAAACATTTCCATGAATAACACGAAGCTTTTCTTTGGGGAATAACGATTGCTTTTTAAATCTTCTGGCCAAATTCAAAAAAAATATTAATTCAAAAGAGTGTTTAATGAACACTGACTCTTCTATATTTAAATCATTTCGTCAAATTAGACGACAAAGCTCATCCTGCCTTTTAGCCACGTTACAAAAATAAAGGTGTACCGCCCGGCGAAGCTTAATTAGCAAATCAAATATTCATTTATTCAGGGCGCACCTGATAATGCGAGGGTGGATCGCAACAATAGGATGCGGAGCCGTGCTGTTCCTGTGACTCCTTGATTTAAAAATATTGCCAACCACGGCAACCTCTGTTGTTTTGTAATTTACATTGTGTACCGACTTGAGATTGACTAACGATCTATATTTAATTGTATTCCGTTGTATTCTATTGATTTACAAAATACGGATTGAAGAAAATTTATTCATCAACATCTACATAAGCGTCTGATTTGCGAGTTTCCATTTTCTATTTCTGTGAAAATTTCGTGCTTCGAAAATAAATCCAATACATTCCATACTTCTGTCGGGCTTCATAGGGCTGCTTATGACGGAAACGAATGGTTACACAAGTGACTGAACTAATGAAATATTGCTTTATGGTAGCTCTAAAATTGATCTACGGCAGAAACCGAAACAGTTGTACGAGAGAGTATAACATAACATCACGCCTTTTATTCCCGAAAGGGTAGGCAGCGGTGCACATTATACCACTGTACAATGTAACACCCACTTTTCACTATTTATGTTATGGGTCCCATGTGATAGGGGGTGAGCCTATTGCACTATACCGGGCCCATTTCCAGACTCCGTGCTACCACTAAGTTTTTTTTTAAAACCCACTAATGCTTTGTCCGACTAGAAATTAAACCCGAGACCCCTTGCCCGGCAGTCGCACTTGCGACCACTCGGCCAACGAGGCAGTCTACGAGAGAGTATAAACTACTGTAATTAAGAAATGGCATACCATAAGACTATATGTCAGTCAACGTGTACTTTTATGCAAACAAATATTCAAATACAATATCTGAAACATCACAAGAAAATCGGAATAAGAATCTTTGCGATATATCCGTGGAAAAGTAATAAAACTTATGTCAACGTTCGAGTCAACGCTACGACGAAACGAAGTGATAAGGAAAATTTTAGATATGTATCTGAAAATCGTCTGTTTCACGATTCGTGAAATACAAACATATTGCGAAATATATCGAGTTTCTATCATTTGATATATGACAAACTGACATTCAATTAAATGTCGATATTTGATACGTAAGTACTCACATCTAACTTTTCTCACATTCCGAAGATAATTATCTACGATATCTTCACGAGGTATTACGTTACACGAATTACATTAGTACAAGGAAGAAATTACTAGTGAAAGAGAACCTGATGATGCTTGTTTTCTTTGAAATAAAAAAATAGGCGACATGAGACGCCCACTTTCAGCGAGTTAAAAAAATAAGGCGATTCCAAAACTAATTAGACTCCGTAATACTTCTTAGAACAATCTTATAACTTTCGAGTACTTGATCCTATTAAGATCTCATGTAAGATGAAATCTTATTGCAGTTACATAGATTAGGAGCATAATAATAAAAGCATAGTTCATGAAACATAACTATTATAGAACAGGGATCTGCCGTATCCTAACAAAACAGTGCTGTGATAATATAAAGCTGTATTATATTATTCAAGTCGACGTAGTATCTCTGGACGTAGCCGTCAGATTAATTGACGTGCCTCACAATCTCTGAGATATTTTGTTAACCTAATTTTCTTGTTACGTTTAAAATATTTTCTCTGACAAATTATTCAGTTTTGTTCAAGATGAAAATCTTTGTTCCCCTCCATGATGTAATTGCGTTAATCTCAGCATAAATCTTGTAATTATGAAGGCAGACGTGGTGGCTCGGCCTGTCTTTTCATTTAAATGTAAAACGACTAAGGAGTATTGTGTGTTTAACCGCGTACCGTGTGTACTCACGTCGCTATTGTTCGTGATCATCAAGAAAACTGTGCTGCCGACGTTTGTAATTAAGAAAGTATTTGAAATTAATTTAAAGTTTTCGTGTTACAATGGTTGTTCCACGAAGTTCTGAGACAAGGGTTAACAATGCTGTATCTTCTAAGTTTGCAGTTCTTGCTCTTATTTTGGCCTGATTAAATTAAGTTTGAAGCTGACTACTAACTCAATTAATCTATTACCTCCCGTCAGACTTCATTGTTCAAATTACGAGATTTTATTGTTACAGTGTTACGTGACCGTGACATAGTTTGTTATGAAACAACATATTCAAATCAATCAAATATCATTGATTGTTTATATAGAGTGTATGAGATTCTGCAGCCTCACAGCAGCAAGATTACTTCGTTTCAAAAACAAATCCGTAGATGTAAAACGGTGCGATAGCTTCCTAGGCTCGGGCTAATTGCGGACCGCTTTCAAGCTGTCTCGGCGAGGCCTCACGGAATTGTAGACAAACTAAAAAGACTGAAAGGCTCGGGCGCCGGGCGTGCCAGACGGGCGGCAATTGTTTGTCGAATCCGACGTCGCCGAGACCCAGCTCGTTTTAAATGAGCAGTCTACTACGACACTGCGGGCTTGCACCGCCTGCATATGTACATTTCCTTATTACAGCCATCCTTTTATGAGACTACAAAAGGAGCATTTTCGACAATCTCACCTCTTCGCAAAACCATTTACAGATGCAATTTAGGAAAACATGCTTAGACGAACAATATCTCTTGACTCTCGAGACAAAAAGTGTTCATTTTCCTATATTGTTTTCCGGGAAAAACATTACCATAAGCCACGTGCAAAACAACACTATACAAAACATAATAAAATATTCATAACTAACCCCAAATGCTCAACAGAACGTGACAGTTGAATCGTGATCTACATTCAAAACAAAACGTTTTAATCAGAACACAGAACAACCCTTGAGGAGAGGGCTCACTTGGAAGCCTCTCACAGGGGCAGTGGGCTATCGAACGAACCGCTCATTTATTACTGTGCGTCGGGAAGGCACTGCCGGCTAAATATGGATCCACGTGCGGAAATCACCATTTCCGCATGACAAGTTTTGAATGAAAAAGTAATCGGATCGTTAAGATTTTGCTATTGGAAGTATATGTAATAATATAGTGTACTTACAGGGGCGCGCGGTATTGTGTATATGTTAGATGGTGTTGCCGGGCAGCACGGGAGCGCATGCCTAGCGTGCAGCGGCAACGCGCGGCTCTCGCCGACTGACGCACGCACGCGCGTCTCCCTCCGGCTACGAGTCTACGACACCCGCTACGCTGCTACGAAGGACCGCGTTTGCACCGTGTTCGTAGAGATTTACTTTAATTTAGGGGTTGATGGAAACTGTAAATTCATTAGTTCCCAAAAAAAATATTTTGATGATTAATGTGCAATTATTTTCATAAAAAAATGTTCGATATTTTCATTCAATGTTTTTATTACTGAAACTAATGAAGCGTGTTTTAGCTTTTACATGTATATTTCGGTGTAAGTAACAGCGGGCCGTAGCTCAAATTCTCGTGGCGGCTATTAAGTTAATGTTCGGGGGTAGATTTGAACAATAAAAATAAACATTTACCCACCGCCCATCGGGACGACAAAACTCCTAAACGACATAACTTTGTTATTCATGTAACGATATTAAAACAACAGATTCCGGCTGACCCTTTTTGCTTAGTTGGAGTCATAAATTACTCAGGGACTTTGGAGTAAATTTTGTAAATTTTGCGTGAAACCTGTGAAGGAATCTAAGAGTAAATAAGTAAGTAATGTGGTGTAGCTGTGGGGGTGTGGGTACTGTGGGTATTAATTTAGTGCACGCATACGCGAGACAGGTCACGTGTCAAAAAGAAGAGCTGTCGTGCCAAGCTCCAGGTTTATTTACTGCACGTACATAGAGCACACAATGCTGTGTCGCTGTGCTCTCTCGACTCCTGTGTGTAGGCACTTTGTTTTAGGAATGTCTGTTGCGAATAACTTAGTGTCGGAAGCAAAGCTGCTTTGATGTGAGAACTGGATTTTACACATACTTTAAATTCCTAAAGTCTTTGTATTATCTTTCTAATGTTATAATTTGAGCGCTTATTTATCTCATGGGTAGCTATGATAATTGTCATTTCATAAATTATTATGATTTAGCTACGTGGCGGATTTTGTTACAGCAATCGTAATTTTCAGGATGTGCCCTAATTTTCTGTATTTTTTTATCTGTCAGGAAATCGACGGCACGTGCACGAGTGAAATTAGGGTGCGCCAATTCGTTTTTTAATAATGAAGCCGGTAAAGTTAATTACCTACCGACCATTATTCTTTGAGCAAGAATTTTACAAATGTACGTCTGTTAACTATAAGATGATAGACATTTTAGTAATAGCCAACCGATAAAAAAAACTCACTTAAACTGTCAAACACCAAGCGGTCACCGGTGACCGCAACCTATTGTTCTATAATTGTGTCTATAATGACGGTACTCGACGAGTAAGTTTAAAGGATACCTACTAAGGGCCGATCTTTCAATCAATAGATATCTTTTAACCGTACCTATATAGAATAAAATTGTTATTTGACAGTTTTTAAAATGGAAGAATTGTCAAATATTCATAACTATTCCTCCGATAAAATTTATCTGGCGTTAAAAAAGTCCGTCCTTAGGTCATATATTTACAAGAAGTTAAACAATCGTAATTTATGTATTTTGGTAAATATTTCATTGTCCATTAAAACCATTGAATTAAATGCGCTAGTTGCAAACCGATGAATCGGATAAAATAATACCTAAGTAATAATAATAATAATAAATTTATTTATTATCTCTCTACACAAAGGATAATTTACAGAAATAAGATACAATAATCAAATGCAAACAATGTACTCCTTTGTGAGAGACTGGAGTCCATACTAGGATTCCCTGTGTGACGGATCTCCAGGCTCCCACCTCGGACCAGTTACAGATTACAGATATCCATCATAAATTCGCAGAAGGACAAACCCCTCGATGTAGCAGATATGAGAAATAAAAGAAAAATAAACAAACTCAGAGACATACTGCATACTTGTTACAAAACAAAGAGAAGGAGATTAAGTAAACAAAATTTAACATTTTCAAAATTGCATGTTGCGTGTGGAGTAGTGTGTGTAGTGTGATGCGTGTGAAGTGTGTGTGTGATGCGTGCATGAAGTGTGTAGGTGAGGTAAGTGAGATAAGGGAGAAATCGTATACAAATAGAGGTTATTACGGTCTGAGTCTGGAAATACATTTTTATATTGAGTATGTAATATATGTATATTTTTCCCTTTTCTATATTAAGACGGTGTACTTAGTAACAGCTCCGTCGTGTTGTAGTCTAGCTTCTGTAACCACTTTGAAATTTTGATTTTACATTGGGTTTTAGGTAAAGAATAGATCGATAGAATTTCATTTATCTTATTATACAAATGGTTCCCGAGAAAACAATAATTACGATGTGAGAAGGCAGTGTGGAATTTAGTAGTCGGGCATACGTTGTGCTTGCGTCGTCGATTTTCAAACATGCTTGGATTAAAGGTAGTTTGGGAATGTTTACGAAGAATAACATTCAGCACGTATAGTTGGCGAACGGTTAGTACACCAACACGCTCATAAAGTTCCTTGGTTGGAAATAAGAATGGTAAGGAATTACCGACCTTGAGAACCGCTCTTTGCGCGCGTTCCACCCGTAGCATTGCCGTTTTTGCTGTTCCGCCCCACACGGTTATGCAATAAGAGAGAAGAGACTGGCACAAAGCAAAATATATTGTCTTCATTATACTGGCGTCAACCACATGTCGAAGATTTTTGAATACATACATCAATTTACGAACTCTACTGGAGAGAGCATCAATGTGTAAATGAAAGTTTAGAGTGCTGTCTAGTGTAACTCCCAGATACTTAATGGATTCCGTTCGTGATAGTTCGGGGCACAAGCAACAACCGTTCCCAGTAGATCTGCATTTGGGGGAATGGGCAACGATCTTGTAACCACCCAGGGAGCCAGAAGGTCGTTTTAAGAAAAACGGAATATATTTAGTCTTGTCAACATTAAGGGCAAGCTTATTGTTAGCCAACCAAGCCAGCACCCTATTAAGGCCCTTTTGCGCGCATTCATAAACCTCGGACCAGGAATCCGCCTCAAACAGTAGCGCAGTGTCATCAGCGAAGGTTACAATTCTCCCATTAGGCAGCTCCAGCTCACAGAGATCGTTAATGTAGGTCAGAAATAATGAAGGACCAAGTATACTACCCTGTGGCACACCATGAATCACAGGCAGATCGCTGCTAGTCCATTCGTTTATCCTAACTCTCTGCAATCTGTTTGTGAGGTAGTCGGAGAACAACTCAAGCTGAACGTCCCTGACGCCAATACCCTCCAATTTACTGATTAATAGTGGGACGGAGACTGTGTCGAAAGCCTTGGCAAGGTCCATGAAAGTGACAATCACTTTCTTGTTTGTATCAAGATTATCTATAATAAATTGAGTCAAATCATGAACAGCGTCACTAGTTGACACACCAGATCGAAAGTATACTTTACTCGCTTGTATACTTTATTGAATCATTGTTTTCAACAATCCGTAATCCTAGCTGTCTAGTTTACAGTCTTGTAAAGAAGGTTAACAGAGTAAGGACCACAAGTGTCCCACAACCTCTACCCTTACAGGTGGGTTAGAAATTAGAGATAACAGTTAAACAAAAAGTTCAGGTTTATCACCGCAACGCGGTTTATCTTCTCTCAATCTCTATCATAATTTTCTTAATCATCAATCTATATCTTCTATATAAATAAAAATTAATTTCCGTTCGTTAGTCTCGCTAAAACTCGAGAACGGCTGAACTGATTTGTCTAATTTTGGTCTTCAAATGTTCAAGGAAGTCCAGGGAAAGTTTAAAAGGAGAAAGAGAAAATATTTAGGCGGAACGAAGTTTCCCGGGTCGGTTAGTACCTAGATAAATATCAACAGACAGTGATTCATTAAAATCATGCCAAGTAATGCTGCTTGAAACTCACAATTTTGTATTGAAAATAACGAAATTCGCACAAAATATACCAGTAGCAAATATTTAGCAAATAAAAAAGGTTTCGCCTAATTGGTAATCTTTAAATTGGAGCGAGATATTATGTAGGTACCTTTTTTTATACGAACTTACTCAGCAAGTCAGCAGTCAAGCTCACGTCCAGCAAACCAGTGATTAATGAAAAAATAAAATGACTACGAGAAAATGGAAGTGGCTACCGTTGCGGGTTTTATTCACTAGAATATTAAGTACGATGCCATGACATAGTCGCAATCGAGGGTCCGGAAAGCAATGAACCGAAATAGGTGACATGAACCATTGAACCATTGAACATAGAGGACCTAACAATAGCCTGCATGGCGTGATACCAGACAAAGAATAAACTTACTTGTATTCTACTCGCAGGTTGAATGCCCTAATCCTGTAGCGAATTATCCTTAAGGAAAACTGGGCACGTGCCTAAAGAGCGGGGTTGTTTTAGCGACTATAAAACAAGAGCTTAACGTTTCTACTAAACTAAAGATAACGTTGGTAAGACTATAAAAAAAATATAGCTGTATCTGATAGTCAGTACTTCAGTAGGTATGCGCTCTCAATTAAGTATACGGGGCCCCTGGACTTCGAGATGCCCCCAACAGAAGCAATAATAAATAAAAACTTTCCAATATTTATTTTATTTCTGTAATTATAAAAGTTAAAATAGACTTTATTTCCGCGTAAAGCTTGCGTTCAAAGGTTGGCAGAAGCTTTAGAAAAACTAAAGTAATCATAGTCCGATAATTTGGCTTGGAAAGTTTTCCGATTATCAAACAAATTATCACAATTTTTTTGTGATTTTTTTTATGGCATAAACCGGTAAACGAGCAGACGGATCACCTGAATTGGGAATAAGAGGATTGCGGAGGATTCGGGGATTGGGGAGACTTGGGGGAGGTAATTGGGCCCACCTACCTCACTCACACGACAAAACACAACGCAAGCGTTGTTTCACGTCGGTTTTCTGTGAGGCCGTGATATCACTCCGATCGAGCCGGCCCATCCGTGCTCTCCCACATTTGAATTAATTGATTAATCTCTAAACTTCATAAGGGCCCCAAAGAATTTTTTATACGAGGCTTCGCCTAGCCATACTACGCCACTGCAATACACAAGAACTCCACTCTCACGATTTACGATCCTATATCAAGTCTTACTTAAGCAGTGGCGTAACTATTCGGGGCCTGTGGCAAATTCATTGGATGTGCCTTTCTTTCCAATATAAAAACAAATTTGTTCAGATGAAAATCTCTAAACTGGGTCCCTCCCGGCTTGAGACTCGTGACATTTTACCTTGTTTTACCTACTTGCCACCCTGTAATTACCCCATATCCCACTATATCCAAGTGTTATTCTAGGAACAAAAAACAAAAAGCTACTATAATACATTACGTTTTGTACATACACAAGATATTTATAATATCATATTCCCAGTGGATACGGACGGACGACGGATGAAAACGGGAGATTGTATCTCGCGTGAGGGATGATAAATAGATTGCGTTCAATTATTAAGTATTAATATAATGTTATCCTAGTATTTTCTGCGATATCTTTCTTCATTATTTATTGTATGATTGAAAGTCGACTAGGAATTGTCTACAAGGCCATTATTGGATGTACCTACCTAATTATTGACCTTATTGGGGTTCTCAATTTTGGTTTTCTTTGGATTGCAAACCATTTGAAATTATGCCCGAAGTAGAATTATGCACATACATAATTTACTATAACATCATCAGGGTAGGCCAGATCGTCCGGGTCGACTGGACGGTCCGGCAAACAACGATAGTTACTTATTAAGTATGTGTGCAAAAGTTTTCAACCACTAAGACTTAGCCAAGAGACTGTGATACTTGAACCACTTTCAAACTTCGTGGCTTTAAAGTTTCTACCATTGCATTAACAGTGGTATATTTCGAATAAAGCATCTATTTACTGCCTGCGAGCCCTGCAGGGTGTAAGGAAGACCCATGTTTAGCAGTAGCTGATGATCGATGATGATGACTGATAGTGACGATCTACTTAACTATCTACTAGTTTATACAAAAAGTAAGAAATATACTAGATATGGATAATGATTTTTTTAATTATTATACTTATATGTGCTTTAAAACAAACTCGAGCTTTTAAAACAAATGTACCTACTAAAGAAACATGTCAACAGATCTGTGACAGACAAACCTGGTTTTCTGATAATTAAGCATCTTATACCGAAAATCGTTACTTCCAATAGATATGAATTAAAAAAATATTTATTTAAAACTTTTGCATTCGAGTGTATCAAAACCAAAACTTTGCTCGCGAGTTCTTCGTTAGTAGTTATTTTATCTATGAAATACAGTCCCATTCAATCTACATTCACTGCAAATTCGTTCACACTCATTCATTCACTTATTCATTCAGTCAACGCCATTGCTCATTTTGCTCATGACTTTTCATTCACTCACACCCACTGTCAAAAAAGTTATAACTTTGCTGATGTTCTAACGATAAATGTTTTTTACTTTATTGTCGTACTGTATTCCCACGCTTTTACTTATTTACACAAAGCAATAACAATCGAGTAATTAATTAAGGTGACAAATAAATCAATAATATTGTGAACTTTAGTGGCAAAACATTCGAGATAACTGGTGATTTACATCGGCAGTAGTGAATTAATCAGCTGAATCATAATGAAAGCGCCTTTTAAATAACTGGAAGTAGGTGAAGTGTGAAGAATAACATTGAATTGTACGTAGTGCTGCGTTCCTGTTGTGTTGGAGATGACTGACAGTACCTTTGTTGCGAAGCCGGCGCGGGGTTGGCTGCACCCTGACTCGGTGCTGGCCAGCGATGGAATCACATACGCAGTCAGGGTGAGCATCATATTCCTGATTTATTGGTGTCATTCTTTCAACAACATAACAACAATCTCAATATTGACTCCTACAGAGAATATAGAAACACTTCACGAAAATTTTAGGCCAACAAAATGAGAGCAGCTTGTTTTGTCCTAAAAACATACGAATGACAGAATTTAGCTGATGTGTGAAAGAATTTAAAGTATTTGTAACATGGTCACATGCAACAGTAGTAGTATTTACGCACTATTGTTGTTGAGTAGTATGTAAAACTGTTATGGCAATAGTAACAAATTGTAGTAACTTGTTGATACACATTGCATGCTACTATGTCATCATTTGTAAATTATAATAAATGGTTGATGTTACTGTGTAGCACTTCCCTTTAAAGGACATCCTAGTTTATGACTTTCGAATTAGTCCTAAACTGTAGTGTTATAAAACTTATTTGATTCATTTAGGTAGTATTCTATTCTCATCTCTTTTACTGAAAGAAAGTTTTGATTGTTACAACTACTTATAAATATTCTTAACCCATAAATCCCCATTTCCACTAATATTACATTACATTATAGACCTTATTTCTAATGTTCAGAGACAACTTTTGTATGACCAAATTTAGGGGATGGATTTCAACGGATTAAGTTGTATACTAAATAATTTATTTTCATATTAACTAACTACTTATCCTGTGTTTTCTTGTGTGAATTATTAATTCATTTTCTACTAATGAAAGTAGCATGTAAATTGAATTATCCAATTTGGTACAGCCAAGAAAGAGTTATGTGCGAAAGTACTTAATACTTATGCATTTTGGATATCCACTTTTAATTTAATTTATCCCCTTTCAGTATATTGGATGTATGGAAGTTCTAACTTCCATGAAGAAGCTTGACTTCGAAACAAGATCTCAAGTAGCAAAGTAAGTTATTATTTATATACTTTAAGACAACTTTACAACAAAACATTGTGCAATGGCATCACAAAGCAATTTCTTACAACCCTAGGTGGAGCGATATTAAAGTAAATCACAACAGTTTATAGAAGTACCTGGACTATAAAATGTATAAAGAACAATGCTTACAGTATTGAAACAAGTTGACATCAACCTTGAGCATATTGTTCATGTGCTCCCAACTATGCCACTACATCCTGCCCCAGTCAATTTTAATATAAAGGTCCTTTACTGAGCTCTAATACTATATTTGTTTCTTATATTTTAGTACATTTATCTTTATGTATAGTCAACATAATAGTTTTAAAATTATTAAAACATTTTGGATAACATAACAAACAATCTTATTAGTATCAATTTTCGACATCAGTTGTAAGGAGTTTAAGTTAAAGGTTTATCCAGAGTTTAATTTTGGCTGCCAGTTTTTATTAGCTAACTGACACATTTCATTGGAATATTATATGTCAAAAGTATCCACCAATTTGATTTACCAACACTTAACTACAGGACTAGTGAAATATGTTGTTCATAACTTATTCTTTCTTAAAACTTTATCTATCATAAGTATTTTTATTTATTTGTATGTTTAATCTTGTCTCTATCTAGTATTGTAATGGAAACAATACTTCAGATTGCAACATTTTAAATACTCATAATTTATTTGTTAGTGTATTGTACCATTGTTGTTGTAATTAAGACAATGTCTTAATGTGCTATTATGATCTCTCTTATTATATGGTAAGACTATTTGTTTCTTTAGAATAAAACAAAATATATGTTTTCTACACAACTACTAAGAAAGTTATCAGTTTGTTTTTGTTTGTTTACTATTTAGTTTTATTTTAACTTCATGCACATTCATACATTGGGTAGACACAATGCCACAGGTATTATCGACCACTCAGATCTTAGTGATACAGAGAAGAGCACTTATCCTGCATAGCCTATAAAATTAATTGCAATTGTATGTTTCAGAGAATGTATTGCAAGAGTATGTGCTGCAGCTGGTTTAAGGTCAGCGGACAAGAAGCGCAGAGTTTGTCAGGCTGCAGTGAGAGCACTAGCCGCACGTCCACGGATGGCGCACTCCGGAGCTAACGTGGCACTAACCATATCATCTAAAGCAATAACATTAGCCGCACTTGAAGGTGGAGAGACAATAGCTCGTCATGATATGCCTCGAGTGTCATTCGCCTCAGGAGGAGATACAGACTCTTTGGACTTTGTAGCTTATGTAGCCAAGTCAGTGCCTCCCGCAGAGTGGAGAGCATGTTACGTACTAGAATGTGGAGGTAGACTAGCACAAGATGTCATAGCAACCATAGGACAAGCGTTTGAACTCCGTTTTAAAGAATTTTTGACGAAACCCTCATCGTAAGTATTATTATAATTTTATTTTCCTCATAGAAATACCATGCCTTTTTGTTACCGGGTAAATAATTTTAACTGAAAGCTATTTCCTCGTGTACTTGAATCATTGTTATTTATGTCATTTGTGTGAAAACACATACTAAAGTTTGAATATACCTAATACCTCGTTATTCTTCAATAACTGGCAGGAAAAAGTATGTTTGGCTTACTTGTCGAATTTAAAATTCGATAAAAGTAAATCAGCGCATTTGTTGAACATTTTAAGAACCAGAATTTTATTTGTCTAGTAATTCTTCGATTACTAACAGGAAAAGGGTTAAATATGTTCAATGGTAGTTAAAACAAAATGAACTATGTATATTATTTAATTTGAATATTTTCGGAACCAATATTGTCAGTTAAAGTTATCACTGTACCATTCTATGTTACATATCTAAACATAGATCTGTAGTAAGAACAATGTTCCAACGTTCATTGTTTTTAAAGGTCATTTATACACAGTTATAACATCTGAAACATAATATTAGTTCACACTAAAAATAATATAAATTTGTCACCATTTGTAATAGCTATCACTAGTTCAATATACCTAAGTGTAAGTTCAAAACATTTATTCAATGAAGATGAGTCAAGTAAATATTGCATGATTCATTGCTCTATTTGCAATGATATAATTAGAGTTGCTACAGTTCTATTGCACAATATGAAATTGCATCAATTATGCTTTTTGGAGTGTATTGTTAACAACAGATATAATAGCTGGATCATCTGGTGCATAGAAATTGAATAAGCTATTCATTATACATTTTTTTCGTAAACAATGATCTGGCTTTCAAATTTAAAAAGTTTAGATCTAAAATCATCTTTAGCGTGAGCTAACCTTTGTTATGTAGATGATCTAAAATTGATTATCATTGAGTAAGTTGAACTATACATTCTAAATTTAATAGTTATCTATTAAAAGGAACTCTATTCAGACTTACAATTGTTCGAGAAAGGCTAACTGAGACTCTGTTATCTATCGTCGGCCTGCCGCGCTTTCTCCTCATCCATAAGAGTCCCAGCATGACTCGAAACTAGTAGAGCTTTTCTCGAATAATTTACGTAAGTAAGTATTTTCTCTAGATGGACCATAGTACCTATACTAGTACCATAGTATTAAATTATTTCTTAATGCATTTTCCAGGTTAAATCTAAACGGAGGTCGCGGACTATGTGGCGCTACGACCGGCGTGGCGCCGACCGACGACCGCGAGTACTACAACGACATGCCAGACAAGACGCCGCCGGAGACCACCACCTCGTATAGACACCCCCCGCCCCCGCCTCTTGCGTCACTCGCCTCACTAGCTCCTATATCTTCGTAAGTATAATATACACTACATAGCTATACCTCGGCACTCTGAATAATAAGTCAATGTCAACAGCCAGTGATGGTCCACTGGTGGACCATGGGCCTCCCCTACTTAAGAGAAGCTCTTTTCTTTTGTAGAGGAGGTCCTACTATAATCTCCATGCGTTGATTAACAAAATAAATAATTTGATGGCTTGACCAACCCTTTTAACGTAAAAAAATCGCTCAGCTGCTATACTAAAATGTGTAAAATTTTAGAAGATATACCTACTTGAACATTATGTAAAGTCTGTCAAAAAACTGCTTAGTACTATTGTAAATGTTTAATTTAACAGTGTTTTACACATCCTTCTGGCCTTCTTAACATTATAATGTATTCTTCCGTATGTATATAATTTTTTTATGATTTTATGTCGCCGCGTTTAATGTATATACATATTCGTCTATTAAGTATTTGAATTTCAGGTTGTCATACCTCAAACATATAAAAGTCAATGAAATTTCTGAAAATTATTTTATTACCCGTCCATTAATTAAGCGAACAGTCATCAGTCACTGTTATCATCAATACCATCCAGGAAATACTCGTATGATGACTCCTACACGGATCAAATCACGTCACTAATCATACCCCCAAAATTCGATACAAACAAATATTAAAAATATTCCCAGAATATGAATCATGTAACTTTAATTTTTATCTGTTACACTGTAAAAAGTCATTCGAACGATTATTGTATGTGTACATAATACACTATTGATTCACTTTCTCGGAAAACTTATATGTCGTAGGATGACTCAATCAATGTTATTTTGTTAAGGTAAGAGCCAAGATCAATAAGGAAACTAGTCTTTCCATTTATGTGAAAGTTCCTAAACAACTTAGGTATATATACCCACAATACATAATGGTAACTTTGGTTAGGTACTAATTTAGTCAATCGTTTGATTTCTATTAAACCATACACAGACCACAAAGTGAACACTCAGAATTATTGTTAGTTGTCATTCAATCGGTCAACTACTTCGTTGGACAAACATGCGCGAGAGTTGAATTAGTTCCCACTCTCAGTATTGGTCGGAGTGTTTTCCATGATAAACTAATGTGCAAACATTTATATATTTTTAATAATGGTGTAATAATCACAAATATATAAAATCCTACGTAAGATTAAAGGTAAATTGAGTGCAAGTTTCTGCAATAAACCTTTTTTTCTACTTTATCATCTCAACCAGCATTTATGACCTCTTACGTCATCAGAGAATCATTAAAAATTATCTGTATATGTTTTCAGATGTGAGGAGAGTGTAAGGCATTACGTGAACCAGACCCCTCCACCTCGCACCCCGCCCACTGCGCTGTTGCCAAACCATCATACCGACATCTTCGATATGCGTTAGTATTGTACCTCATATTTTATTGCTAAACTAATTGAGACCTTATTTTTAAAAGGTAAGGTTGATTTCGAATTTCTACCATAAGAGTTCTCTACATTTTATACTAGGAACTAACTTTTTGAAAGTCATTCCAATCCACGAATATCGTCAAAGTTATACCCTAGTTCTACTTTTCATCTTGATTATAACGAAAATAGGAAATTCTTATTCTCATTCAAAACTACGTTTTCTCCACAGAACCGTTCACAGCTGCACCAGTATCATCATCAGCAGCGTCGTCATCATCGACGGCGTCAGTATCGTCACCCAATGACGTGCCTGCCGAGCCACTGTCTGCGCAGGCGCAGGCCGCGTTACTAGCCCGGGAACCGTGGTTTCATGGACCTATTTCTAGGACTACTGCTGAAAAGGTACAATTAACATTGTTGTAATATTAATAGAATTTTTCTAATTCATATCATTCAGGAGACGGCAGAGTAGTATTTGTCATGACCCCCACTCTTTGGGTATCGTTAGAGTCAATTAAGGGACACAATTAACTGGCACCAGGAAATAACACTATATCTAAAAAGCCAACCCGCTTCCAGGCATGGAAATTATGGCAAACCTCTCTCAAACTGTCAAACACCAAGCGGTCACCGGTGACCGCAACCTATTGTTCTATAATTGTGTCTATAATGACGGTACTCGACGAGTTAAACATATGTAGAGGAAGTCTAGAGGTTAACACTACACTTACATGAGCTGTTGAAGTGAAATTAAATCAATCAGAATATATTTTATCTTAAATTATTATATGAGCATCCAACATCCACTTCAAAGTTCTTATATTGACTATATCATGGGCAAAATAACCAATTTCTTCATTTTTGATTCGACAGCTAGTGGTAGAAGACGGAGAGTTCCTAGTACGTGAGTCAGCGGCGTGTCCTGGACAGTTTGTGCTGACGGGGGCCAGGAAGGGTAGCCACAAGCACTTGCTACTCGTCGACCCGAATGGAGTGGTATGTTGTTTTTCTTAATACTTACAATATTGCGCCTTATGTCCTCTTTACATGATATATTTTTCTTTGCGAAGTGTTTTGTCCCAGTTTTCAAAAGTAAAATGACGTGTAAAGTCTTATTTTTACATATAATTTAAAAAAACCTGTATTTTCCATCAGCCAAATATATTAAACTTTTCCCCTTTTTACCGTCAAAGCTAATTTGTTTTCAAAATTACTTTTCGCAATATAAATATGAAATAAACAATTCATGTTTCTACTAGGTACGAACGAAGGATCGAGTGTTTGAAAGCGTACCGCATCTAATCAAGTACCACTGCAGCAACGAACTCCCAATAGTATCGGCTGACTCAGCGCTGTTATTGCGCAAACCTGTTCTAAGAGACGGAGCGTCATGAGGCCAACTAACACCCACTGACCCCAGACTCGACATTACAAAATACGCACTCGTACGACCCAATTCTTCCATCTTCGTAAGATTGAGGTATTGAGTCTCATTGTAATGCAAGGAGACGATCAGTAGGAATTGATAGAGCTTAATGTAAAGCAATAGTCCACGGGATCACGTTACCCTCAGCCATATTAAAATTCTTATCGTCGTATATTTCTTCTAACTTGTGTACCGTGATCCCAGCGTACCAAGGACATTAATTTTTTCAAAATTATATAATTATGTACGCATTTATTACGATTCCATTTTATTATAATGATTTATCCACGTAAAAGTGATAGGATATTTGTAATTAATTACCAAAGGCACGTTTTGGTTGGAATGCTATTGCAAAAATGTGATCTAACTTCCAATAAAGTTATTTTATAATTTTTATATATTATTATAAAACTAGTCTTCACCAAATTTCTATTTAGAAGTGAAGGCCGTAAATCTCGTTTAGTGTGTGTAAGCATGAGATTAGTTAATATTATGTTGAAAGTAAGGATAATGTTGCTGTGCAATTGACCATGCCAAACTGTAGTCGAGACACAGGAGTCTTATTTTTATATCAAATCGTATTTTGCTAAATATCATATACATATAACGTCGGAGCATGCATGCAAACGTCGCACAAATTGATTGAAGCTCTCTGCGTCATAGTTAAAATGTTTTATTATATGTTTACAATAAAGTAATAAATAACAGATAGGTGCTATGATTGCTTACTTAAATAATTTTAGATTAATGTAGTCGAGTAATTTTATAAAGAAAATGTACATACAACATCACATCATCTTGTAAAGCGTAGACTACTTTAAGACTGTTATGTTAGACTCGAATCTTTTACTAAGTTAAGTGATAAAAGTTTGATGCTTTAAAATTATTCCTCTCCATAGAGAGTTTGTGTAGTGTCACAAAAGTGCACAGAAAGTAAGGGTTTGACTCCTCACTGGGGAGAAAAGAGTTTCGCCTACAAGATCTGTAACTCCTGTTCGTTAGGCAATAATAGCAGAAAAAACAACACAATAGTTAGATTTCAAACTGACTGTACCGAGTTGTCATCACTCGGCTGGACTGATTTTATAAAAGGACTAAATAGGAAAATATATCAACAAAAGTTGAGCAATTTTATTAAATAATGGAGAATGTTGTTCATGTTGGTATAGCAGCACCAATACTATAAAATTTAATGAACACGTTAGAATTTTCCAGCACTGTTCTAAATTATATGCTTGTGTATCACAGATTAGAATTAAATAAATATATTATTAATGCAATATTCCATTGACATATAATGTTAAACATCATCGTAAATATAGTTTATGCAAATATGTTACTGAGCTATCATTATTATTAAACACAAAGATGTATTTAAAATAATGTATTATGTGATTTAAATAAAATATTTTGGAAAATCATTTTTGTTTTAGTATAGACTTTTAACTGACTGGTTACCTACATACTTATCCTGACCCTGAACACGTAGCCAATAAACTAACTAAAGGTGGATTAGGTTTTCATGATTGCCTCTCCGCCCACTATGAGAATGTGAACTTGAATAAAAGCGGTCGTTGCTTGTCTCCGTCAGTTTGTAGTGTAAGATATGGTTATGTTTTCATTATTAAAAAAATCTAAATAAAACATTTTGCTTACATGATTTATTTAGCAAAAAAGTAGCAAGCTTTTGATAAACTAATGCTGATAGTTTCACTAATCAATTGGACAATGGCATTTACGCTTGAGGAATTGCAATTTGCTGAGTTAATAATATTTTTCTTTGTTGGAAGGAACTCTTAGTACTTCGAAATAAATTTGACGTATTTTTCTTACTATCTACTCATCTTACTTTCTACCTGCTACTTAGTACAAGAAAGTATTATGTATTAATATTTTTTTAAACGCAAATGCAATTCATTTGTGGACCTATAGACAGTTAAATCTTTGTTTTACTAAATCGTGAAGTAAGCAAAGTGCTCTCTTCGTAACTTCGATTCACACCAAAATATAGTGAGTGAAGAGGTAATAACTTGTTTACCCGTCAACTCATCAATGGCTCGATAGTTACTGGACCGTACGAAAGAGGTTGAAGGGTCGTGGTCATGTCCACAAGTCTCTTCTCTTCCATAGCGATATACTTAGTGTTTGGGGGATGAGGTGCGAGTGATCTTGGCCTGGACTAGGCCTTTATTCATCGATAGTCTTTCTATTTCTTCTGATACAATGTTGAATGTACTGATAAGGAATCAATCGCCGTTAGGAATACTTAGGGTGCTTTTTCACAAGAGATGTGCTATGTAGCTAAGCTGTCAAACTATGTGACCGTTTCCACTGATACTAAGCTAGGTAGTGGTGCGAGTAAGATGTGCTATGAAGGCATCTTTCTTCATCTCATCTTTTATTACCTCCCTTCTTTCCAAGGTGATGGAGCGAGTAATCAATACCAAGCTCCTTCGATACCTAGAGGAGCACAACCTGCTCAGCGACCGTCAATACGGTTTTCGCCACGGTCGCTCGACTGGTGATCTTCTAGTGTATCTCACACATCGCTGGACCTCGGCCATTGAAAGTCAAGGTGAGGCATTGGCAGTTAGCCTAGATATAGCGAAGGCGTTCGATAGGGTCTGGCACCGGAGTCTTCTGACGAAGTTGCCATCATACGGGCTGCCCGAGGGATTGTGCAAATGGATTGCTAGCTTTTTGTCCGGCCGACGCATAAGAGCCGTCGTAGACGGTAGTTGCTCTGAAAGCATGGACATAAACGCTGGCGTCCCGCAAGGCTCCGTACTTTCTCCGACGCTGTTTCTTCTGCATATCAATGATTTGCTGTCTGTTGAGGGTATTCATTGTTATGCATGCTGATGATAGCACCGGGGACGAATTTTACACGGGCCGTGCAAACATCCCTCGTTCCGTTGTGGAAGAAAGCCGCGTAAAACTTGTGTCTCAAATCGAGAGTACCTTATGCCGAGTCTCCGATTGGGGTCGGGACCATATGGTCCGGTTCAACCCCTCCAAGACACAAGTTTGTGCGTTTACCGCTAAAAAAAACCCCATTCGTTGTGGCCCCTAAATTCCAAGACACTACCCTTAACATCTCCAAAAGTATAGGTATCCTTGATGTCGACATAATAATATCTAGTGACGTCCAGTTCCGTAGTCACTTAGAAGATAAGGCCAAGCTGGCATCTAAAAAACTCGGTGTACTAAACAGAGCGAAGCGGTACTTCACGCCGGGACAAAGACTGCTTTTATATAAATCGCAAGTTCGCCCCCATATGGAGTACTGCTCTCATCTCTGGGCAGGAGCGCCAGCATACCAGCTTGGACCTTTTGACGCGGTCCAAAGGAGAGCTGTCAGACTTGTTGACGATCCTATACTTACGAGCGGTATCGAGCACTTAAGTCTAAGGAGAGATTTTGCCTCCTTGTGCGTGTTCTACCGCTTGTATAATGGGTTATGTTCTGCAGAATTATTTGATATGATGCCCACGGCCACTTTTTATCATCGCACCGCTCGCCATCGGCAGGGGGTTCACGCTCACTCATTGGAGCCAAAATGGTCCCGTACAGTTCGGTTTCAGAGGAATTTTCTCCCACGGACCCTCCGATTGTGGAATGAGCTCCCTGCCGTGGTTTTCCCAGTGGGCTACAACATGAGGTTCTTCAAGAGGGCGGTGAATAGGTTTTTTAAGGGTCGGCAAGACGCATGGAATGGCCCAAGTGTTGCAGGCGTACATAGGCCACGGTAACCGCTTACCATCAGGTGGGCCGTGTGCTTTTTCGCCATCGTCGTGGTATAAAAAAAAAAAAAAAATCTTCGCCGCTAAAAGTAGCTGCGCGACGAGATGCGCAGCAGAACGAAAGTAGGGAAGCGGCGAGGGCGCAACGCATCCATAGGGAACATATCTTAGCTGAATCCGTTTCCACATGCTATGTGCACCGATGAATATGATTTGTGCATGCCAAACACTTCTACATCTCTGGTTGAAAAGCACCCTTAGAATTGGTCCTATCAGGGTCCCCTTTTATCATAGGGCGTGTTATATAATGGTTACCAAAAGTAAACACAAAGAATCTTACTTAAACTTCTTTATTAAAAATGTAATTTACAGTATAAACAGTAAGGTCATACATGGCAGTGATGTTATTATTATTACTTATAAATATTTCGGCATCGCTATACATAATCCGACCAACACTTCCATATTCTCTACACCATACTCGCTTCTGACACTTAAAAATTAATCATCAACATGAAACGCCACAAAAACATCAATAAACCTTCAAGATAAACAACAAACAAGCAAGTGTCAGACGCGAGTTGTCCTACTTTACTGCCAACCCGAGCTTACATGCCTAATCCATCCTACTTTACATCAATCCAAGAAACAACATTTTAATTATGCTTACTTTAATACAGTCCAATTTCATCAAATAATAAAGTCAACTTGCTAAAATAAAATATTTGTTTTAATGTCAGATCCCAAATATGTCAGATATATTCAAGAAATGTCGACAATAATATCAATAAATTGATCATACAATTTCCATTTGCCTACTCAAGTACATTATAACATTCTTTGGGACATCGCAGCACTATTCTCCAGACCCTACTAAAACGTAGGCTCTCCTTACGTGCAGTTATACTTAATACTACTATTTGCTAAGACTGTCTAAAAAATCAAACTAAGGTCACTGTACGATAAAAATAAATAAATACGCTTCTATACAAAAATAAGACATTTATATACGATGGTGAACACGTGAGCACTTGACACCTTCGCGGGCGACCTTCTGTTCCTGCGCACATTGCATTCCTAGCTAGCACTCTAGTCGCTACTCTACGTTATCATGGTACGAGTCGAGGCCGCCCCAGCCGCCGATAACATTATACGTACGTTCTACTACACCGGCTAGTCGTCGCCGATACAATTGACTTCATATATCAAATATCTCGCACAATTACAAAAGTGATCGAGGAGCGTGTAAACTGTATAAGATTCCGTATTACAAAATTACATTTATCACCAAAAATATTTCATCAAGTCATCATCATACAACAATTTTAGATTCAGGCGCATCGTAGTAAAAATAGATCACGTGCATCTGTTACAATTTATTATAACTTGGTCAACAATGACACCTTCGTGCGTCGTCAAAAATTACCTATATAATCGTCGGAATTAGCTAGCTTCTAATACTGTCTAAAATGTGAAGTGCCGATCGAGTACAAGTGTGGCTCGAGATAATCTTCGTTTACATCGACCTCCGGACGCACAGAAACTAAACGTCGTATAAAAATACCTGGTCATAAACCGAAACTATCATACACTCGCACACGAAATAAATACAGGTACGCCGTCGTCACCCGGCTCGGCCGCCACGCGGGGCGCGCCGCCTGCAGTCCCGAGCATTGACCGCGCGGGGCCCGGCGCGCTCAGTCCGGCACCGCCACCGGCACGCCCGCCGCCGCGTGCGCCGCCGCCGGCGCCGGCCGGTGCAGCGTGAACGCGTCGTACACCTGCGCCAGCTCGTCCATGTGGTGCTCCTCCAGACACAGGAAGCCGGCCAGGCTGGGCGCGGCGCGGCGCGCGCACGCCAGGCAGTGCACCACGTGGCGCCGCTCGTGCTCGCGCACCAGCAGCGCGTGCCACACCTCGCGCTCGCACGCGCCGCAGTAGTGGCTGGCCTCGCCGCGCGCGCGCCCGTGGAACCGCACCGGCACGTTGCGCGCGCGCACGGCCGCCAGCGTGCCGGCCGCGGCGCGCAGTGTCTGCAGCAGACACGTCCGCATGGCGCGGTGCAGGCGCGGATCCGACACGCGGATGTTGCGCGCCAGGTTCCATGTCAGGTGCACCATGGGCACGATGGACTTGAAGTTCTGCACCTTGTTCCACTCGTACCGCTCCAGCGCCAGTGAGTACTGGCGCGCAGTGAGCGGGCCGACGTTCCACGCGATGTTGTTGCACCAGCCGGTGGCCTGCACCCAGTGCACGCAGCCCGCGTTGACCCACACCAAGTCTCCCGGTCGCTGCGTGAAGCGATACACGGGCACTCCGTGCGCACGTAGCTCCTCGGGGTCGGGCCACCATGACCCGTGTAAGTACGACAAGCCATGCCTCTCGCACAAGTCGCGCACTCCACCCCAATACGCGTCGGGCACACCGAACCATTCGCAATCGCCGGGTCCGATGTTAATGTTGATCGAACAGAAGTTGTTATTCTCTTGATGACCGGGCGTGCGACTGCCCGGTACTTTCATGTACAACTGGACCGTATTCATGCCCAAAATAACGTGCCCTACGTGTGATAGCATATTGGCAGCTGACGCGACACGTGCGAACGCTGGTAACTTCTGTAGCTCGGTGAGTTGAGGACGCCACTTTCGCTCGTCTGAAAGATCTACGTTGGTCCCAAAGCGCAGCATTCGTGCAGCTCGGCGACGTTTGACCGGCCCCGAGCCGGACTCGCGGCCGTCGGAGTCGGACAGCGCGCCGCCGCCGGGCGCGGTGTTGGCGCCGCCTCGCTCGCGCTCCTCGCGCAGAGACTCCTGGAAGGAGCCGGCCTGGTACTGCGCGTACTTGCGCACGGTGGTGTGCGAGCGGTGCGAGGCGCAGGCCCAGACGCGGCGGCGGCCGGTGGGGTCCCAGTTCTCGTCGGCCGACTGCATGAGTTGCGTGCGCACTTCCACGGCATGGTCGGGCCACGCCTCCACTAGAGTCTTGGTGGAGAACAGCCCGAGGTCAAGCTTTAGCGCCGCGGTGAGACCTCGCACTACAGCGATAGGGTGCTTTAGACAGAAGTCTTGCAGTTGTGGCGAGAATGCATCTCGCTTGGACTCCACGTAAACGAAAGGCGCCGGTGGCGCCAACTGTTCAGGAGACAGGCGCGGTGGTGGTACCGGAGGGGGCTCCGGCGGCCCGCACCCGTCGCCTAGTACTGACCACGCCGTAGGAGGGCCAGCGTTCTCCCTGCAATGGTAAGTAATGACGTTAGTAAAGTGCATAGGTGAAATGCTTTCTGAAGACATGAAATGATGTAATACTTACTTGCAAGATTCTAAAATCTGCTTCGAACTCATGCCGATGTGGAAGGAGACCGGCTTCAGTGGATCCGTCTTAAGGGGCTCCAGTTTCACGACAGGCTGTCGCCCACCGAGCATAGTTTCACCACTACTGCCTGCATTACTGGAGCTATCTGCTGTAAAAAATATAACCAATTAACTATTTGGAGGAAACTGAGACTGTATTGCACATTACAAATTTAATCCATCATGGTTACGCAACATTAAAACCATAATTCAGATTGAAGTCGTTCAATATTGTATCGTTAAACCCGCGGTTGATGATTAAATAAAAACGTAAAATGTTGGTCCTATCGTTGAAATAAGTAGGCAGAATGGCAAGGCCAGCACGATAAATAGAATCCCTCAGAAATATACACTCTCACACCGATAGGCATGCACAAAAATAGTTATCGGTTATCTGATCTCAAAAATCAAACACGTCGGGAAATCACCGCATATAAATACATAAATCGATAAATATTGTTTGTACTGACTTTCTTTATTAATTTTATTATACTTTATATTATAATGGTTTCGTAATTTCATTTTAATAATGCGAGATCCCGTGACTTCACGAATCAGTTAAAACTCGTAATGACATTGACAATTAACCAAAAGGCTATAGAAAAATAAACGTGTCAATGAATTAGCTAATTATACTTTTCTTTGAAGAGTGTTTAATACATGTAGTAAGACCAAAGTACCAAAGGACTTCTTTGAGGTGCACTAACAAATAATAACGAATCGACATGATTCATAGGTACAGTATGCAAAATGCTTCACAAAAGTCCAACCTATTAATAATAAGCGAACATCAAGCTTGATACAGGTACTGAGTTTAAATAAAAATAATAATCCCACTACTGGCAGAAATCTTATATTTCTAAATAGAACGAGCAGTAATGCACTCTATTTAAAAGCATAGAAATTTTAGCGGGACAACAAAGGAGCTCAATCATTCTTAAAGACGACCTTAGTCTTTTGTGAATCGCGAAGTTTTGCGCGGCAGTGCTTTATCAGTGGAACATAAGGACCGCATTATTCCGATATTCTCGCGTAATAGCTTAAGGATATCGCATAATGGTAGCTTTAACAGAGCTTAAGGGAAATTGCGGGCTAACAGATGTGGATCGTGAATCCGCACGTTTTTTGTTCAAGTTAGGCAGGTAGTAGTCAGGACTCAAGATGAAGCAGGTTGTGAAACTTTATGTCAGTTTACATAAAGTCCCATAACGTTATTATAGTCGTGATATCGAGTCGCATATAAACATATATACATAAATTATATCAAAATTTTTGTTGCAGTTGTAATATTCAATTTGTGCTTAATATAATATCCATTTACCTATAGATATTCCTACCTATTTACCTGTTCATAAAATATCTATCAAATAAAGTCTTAGAATTTCTTCACCGACTAGCTATCGTTTGTGTTTAATCTTTGAAGTGAATATTTTAAAATACTTATGTTACTGTGCAGACGGATTTACACGAGTTTGTATGAACAAAACGAATAAAACCGTTCTCGGCTGAGATACAAAGAATTTTCGTTGGAATTTATGTTGTCCTACAAACGCTTGGCCACTTTTTGCTGAGCTGTCCAACTTTTGTCATTTTTAAACACCCACGACGATTATCTGTACAATGTTTTAACGATTGAAACACAATATGCGTAACTTAGTTTGGATATTATTTCAACTAAGATTTTATGAATGTTTCGTATCAGCTCATCGAGTCAATACAACAGAATATCACAGCTGAACTTACCACAGATAGGCTCCTTCTTAACTTCGGGTTGAGTATCTGAGAACCTCTTCAACAGATCTTCGGCGAGCGACTCAGCGTTGTCGCCGCCGGTGGCGCTACCTTCGCTTTTCGTCACCTGTAAAACAAAAATAAATTAACATCACAATCAAGACTTCTTGAAACCCTACACATTATGCTAAAACCTGCCGCCGTTATAAGGGGAAACAAAGTTAGTACAAACCGCACGCGCTCGCGCCGCCTGCGCTTGTCGATACTGCGTCAGTAACTGCTGCATCAAAGCCTGCAAAACAATATTACATTACTGCAATCTCGATAAAGCAACACTAGTACAAGCTATTTAATAACACAACGAACACAAACTAGTTAGTCTACTTAGTCTCTCTCACTACTGAACAATTATAATTAATATTACGAAATCAAATTCTTAATAAAATGATTGGTTGCAATCTGGACAGTCCCATTGGTGATCAACTTGTTTGGGAATCAAAAGTTATGTTTCTATACTAGATAATTAGATTAGTACTTGTTGCTGAGGTGACAAATTGTTGGAGTTCTTCTGTAAGTACTGTAGAGTCTGCAACTGGTGTTGTGTGAGTGGCGGGGGCTCCTCGGGTCTCTTCCCTGGGTATGGCGGGGGTGCTGACTTAGGCGCGCGAGAAGACATTTCCGCGGATATAGGCAGGTTCCAAGCTTCCTCGATTGATGGCAGCTGGCGTCGCCTGCAGAATATATGCCATCAGATCAGAAATCTCTTAAACATAAACGCCAGTTATATTGTACGTGTTTATAATATAAACGGCACAACTTACTTTCCCGTAACAGAAGGCATTGGAGCATGAGCCAAATGTGCTCTCAGGAAAGCGAGCCTTTGTCGTAAAGCGGAATGCGATGCAGTTGCAGCTGCACCACCGTTTGTATAACACGCGAACGCGTCTCTGGGCATTTGACAGCTTTCATATAAACTGCCCAAATTAGTCCACGCCGCAGAGTGACCCTTATCTAGTTGTACCGCGCAGATGTATGCCTGTAAAGCGTCCATGGGCTGGTTCTGTTGCTGATACAAAACGCTGCAAAAGAGAAATAGCAACAAATGAAAATATGTACCAAAAAGACAATTCCATTAAAAGTAACACAATTATGACTAAAAACACTTCTTACCCTATGGAACACCAAGTGTCAGCATTTCCTTCGGACTTTTCCACAGAATTCCTGTATGCAATGAAAGCATCATGTACTTTTCCTTGCGCTGCGAAGCACCGTCCGAGTAGATAGAGTCCCGCCCCTGACTCTGGCTCAGCCGCCACAGCTCGCTGCAAGCACCAGATAGCAGCCCGCGCGCGAGCTGCCGGCTCACCCAGTGACACACAGCGGTGGTATAGCCATCCTACACAGACAGTCACAACGTTAGTGGCCACGACCAATTAATAATTGCTCTCAATTGCAGATAACTCAATAACATCGAGGTCTCACTCACCCAGCTGTCTGCAAACATCGGCTTTTAAGGTGGAGGACAACTGAGGTTCCTTTAGTAGCCTTTCGTATGCATCTCTAGCTGCTTTTCTCAGACCTCTCGCTTCAAGTAGGTGCGCGGCGTGGAAGCTGAGCTCGAGCCGGGTGAAGGTGGCGTCTTGGTGTGGTGCGAGGCGGGCGCGCCTGAAGTGGACGGCGGCGATGGTCCAGTGACGGCGCGCCTTGAACATCAGCGCCAGCCGCAGGTGCGCGTCCGCCGCGCGGGTGAACCCCGGCGACACGTACAGTGCCATTTGCAACGCCTTTGTAGCCCTGCCATTAAAACATTAACTATCGGCATACCCTCGCCTCCAATATTATGAAGGGGAACAAGAAATTTATTACGGGCTATTGTTGCGCAGAATCCAGACAAGTCAACATAAGAGACAAAAGATTGCAGGCAATAAACTAAATCGTTTACATTTAAAAAGCCTTACAAAGGACTTTGTGCTGTACCGAACGACCGACTAGAGAACAATGTCAAAGTTACAGCCTGAACTTGACTGGCGTACAAGGTCAGACGAATTGTAAATAAATAGTATAAAGAACGAGTACAGTTATCATAACAACAGCGCGTAAGTAAGTACATACGATACCAAAACAAGAAAACAAAAACGTAATGTGATCTTCAAAGAATACTTTTTTGTAAAATAAATCATCAAAAGGTCTACTTCTTTGGAAATGTTTTGAAGGGAGCGGATGAACAACAATACCGGAGTTTTTACTTTACTCTTTCGTTCCGTTCAAATGATAGCAGTACCTGTGTAGAGATATTCATTCTGTTCAGAACTTCAGTCTACCTATTCTAATATTTTTTCGATTCGTATCGCGTTATGGCTTCGGTTAAACCATCAAAAGACGTCGTTTTTGAAGCAGTAAATATCTACTTACTTACGTGCCCACTTGGGCTGAGTACTTAAATAAGTACTCATTGCGTAAATTGTGTTTTTGTTGGCTGTTAATACTGTATGTTTTCCGATGTAAATAAAAAAAAAAAAAAAAAAAAAAAAAAAAAAAAAAAAGAGAGTAAAAATGCGTGTAATTAGTTTCTAAGAATTCACGATAAAGAGTGGGCGAAGACATGACGGTGCGTCAGAAATAAAATACGGAATTGAAGCATAATATTCGTAAGGTTATTGAGGAGCGCATCACCGGAGCGTAACGTCACCGATGCGCCCGCGGGGTCGATGACCGTCTGAGGCTCGGTCGTGCAATCGATCGGACGATGCAACACAACGTCTAGACAGCGATCGTCGTCCGAATCCGATGCCTATAACGCCTGTATTTAGATGACCTCCGCTGACATTTGGGAGCCGAAACAAAGGAGCGAGACAGGTGCTGCGCCGAGTTCACCCCGAAGCCCACAACTAAAATTAAGTGACGATTATACGCACACACACATGCATGACACTGACGGGCCATAGAGAGCTTTCACCGGCCGTGTTGCCGCCAGCGATGCTCGACATACATAATATAATAATATTATATTCCACTTCTTATTCACACCCATTGTTTTTACAATTGAACTATGATTGCCTGTTATCACGCGACACACCAGTTTATCTATACCAGCTGAACATTAGTGGAACTTCACGAAAATAGTAGTTTTAACCAGTATAATAGAATTTAAATAAACTCTAATTACTTGCGTATACCTACTTACTAAATGATTTTCAGACTTATACATACATACGTAATAAACTTCAAATTAACGATAATTACATCATGCTGTGACCTTGATTGGATTAGTTTCGTCGCGATATGATAAAAATGCTAATGAAGTACCATTAACATTTTAACAATGAATTACGTTAGTATAAAAATTTCACTGTAGTGACTCCAAGCTCCAAGTAGTATTTTGCGTCTATGTATGTAGTACGATAAGGCATTGTATAATAGGGCAGCGAGTGCCCAATGTGCCCCTATACAAAGATAACACTTTGGTCTTTGTGCGATATCACCGAGTAGGTTTATGGTTCACTACTTCACACCCACCCACGCGGTACGATAATACGACATGTATACGACTGTCACGATAACAATATTGATCAAAATATACTATACATAAAGTGTGTATTTAGAGTTTTTACAAATACCAAACTACGTAATGTCAATATGCTCCGAGTACTCACTGACATAGTGTACTCACTCAACATCACGCTTTTACAACGCGCGTTCATTTTATGAACCAACGTCTTGTTCGCTATCCAGTTTTGATTAAAAAAAAACCGTGACTAGTCGAATAAATCCACGCTTTTTATAACTTTCTTGTAAATTTCTCATCTGAACATCTGTTTACTTTATACAATAAAATAATACATGTACCACATGATGGTATGGAAAAATAAATATCCTGAGTAAACGACTGGATCGATTATAATCCGGTTCGCTACCTGCCCGGGCCCAACCTTGGCCATTATCAGTTCACTCAGGTAAGGGCATTGTATAGAGCCTTACGTATACAAACGAAATACTTGCACCAATTTAAACGACTGTCTTAAATTGCTGCATGATAGAATGATAGATAATTTAGAGAGTTAGTATAATTCAGTCTTTTAAAGCAACCATACCATGACCATTAAAGTTTCACACAATAAACGTGTCGTTTAATGAACCTCAGAGGTTATTTCTGTGGTACAGCGAGACTATCAGAAAGTAACCAGGAAGCTTGGAATGTGTGCGGTGTTCGGGTGTTTGGCGAAGCACTCGTCGCAGTGAACAACGAGCGGTTCTCAGACGGGTGTGCTGGTGGGCGCGGGGAGAGGACACTGGCATGAGGCAGCTCGGCTTGACCTAGTTCTGCAGTCGCGGCGGCTCAAGGACGGATCGACCGCTATTTATAGAGTTCATTCGTCGGTCGTCATAGCACTCACTTTACATAACTGAAGTAAGCAGTCGCTAGGTGCGTCGCGGCCGCGACACGTGATCCGGCTGCACATAATGAACTCGCAATACTTTCCCACGGAACACCCGACCTCGGGGAACATACGCACAATAATAAACCTATTTACCGAGGGATGCTCAAGATTCAATGGAACTCACGTGGTGCTGAGAAATAAGGTCAAAGTCATACACTTGTGCTCCTGATTACTACCGGAAATTAACATTTACGTAATTAAAGTGACTAAGACAAAACGAGGTCAGGCAACGAATTAAAAGAATTTAGTGTTTGTCATATGAATGTATCAACAAACAAATAGGTATACACTTAAACAATTGGACCGAGTTATCAATGAAGGAGCACATACCACGTGGACGATATTTGGCTACGAACAGTTGTACCATACGTATAGTAGGTGCCTATCAATAGTTTTATTATTTTAGTACGAGTGATGCAATCATGTGATGCATTCAACATGAACGCATACAATTCACCTGATTGTACTTACTTATTGCATCACGGCCTTGGCTCCACGGCAACACAAACTGCAATTGTGTGCACTATATAACAAGCTAGTGAAGGTCCTACGTCCACTATACGTATACACACGTAAGATTTTATTACTTCCTTCATGGCAGATGCCACCTGATGAATTATACATTACATAGCTAGCTACATACAAAGCCACACCCCGTCGATTGGAGGACTGGCTTCGTTCAATAGAGTTCGCAAACAATGGTATTTTGATTGCGTACCTTACAGCTGACGGACGACACTCAGGTGTTGGTACTCAACATTCATTTATACTAGAGCCTGCTTCTGTTCATATTCATTGGTCGCTTGTTATTTTGCGGTTTCAATTGTCTTGTAGCCGCTTTTCTGATATTATCAAGGTTCGTATCAGTTAGGGCATAAGTTTAGCCACGTTGTGAAACGTACGTGCCTCCATGCACATAATTGATAATGAACGAGGGCTCGTTTATCGCCGACGTCATGCTATTTGACCCACTTTCGTCCCATTCGATACCACTTATACACATACTGTAGGTTACCTACTCACAAATGATCTCATGAACGCGATATTTCAGATATGTGCCGGCTATTTTCAGTAACGGCGCAATTCACTATACAGAATTGAAATTGAGTACTCATAAAGTTGAAGCAATTCATATCCAATTCTATTTTATTCTAAGGTCAAATGGAAATGTGGGCCATCTGTATTAACAAGCAAGGAAATTCTGTTCAACTAAATTAGTTTTGAAGTGTATAACTCGAACTACCGAGAATTCCAGCTGCCTATGAAACTTTTATGTATACCATTTACCAATACCAGATCGGTACCAGACTTCAAATAGAAACTTCATGTTCAAACACCGGATGACGAAATAAGGTTAGTTCTCGATAACAGCTACAATATTAAAAGCCGTATTATCGATTTCAATGCTAAAGCTAACGCAGTAAAGAAATATTGTGTAGATAAAGATAAGCCTGTTATTATATACCGCACAAGGTAGTTGCGAAGACGGCAGTTGGAGGCTACGCTTACGGTACCTGAGACTGAGACCTAAGCCAGCGGCTAAAATATTATTACATTATATTGGCCATTTAAATTCTTATGAGCACGCTCTTCACAACCCATGAGTATTACTAGTACGCAAACACATCTCAGCAATCTCATACGATACGAACGAACTCGTTACGATATTGCAAATGATACAGCTAGGCTTGTCTATTTTAGTTATTTCCACAGCATTATGTCGTACGGCATTTTGTTGTGGGGTCGAGCTGCAGAAATAGAATCAATATTTATTCTGCAAAAGCGGGCTATCCGAGCAATATATAACTTACGCCGTTGCGAATCGTTGAGAGAATTGTTTAAAACGATAAATATTTTAACGGTGCCCTGTCAATATATATATGAAAATATAATGTATGTAAGGAAAAATAGGCAATTGTTTGAAAAAAGAAGCGATAGACACAATTTTAATACTAGAGGCAAAAATAAGTTAGCTATACCGCAATTCAGACTGTCCAAAGTACAGAAATCCTTTATGGGGTTAGGTATTAAATGCTATAATAAAATACCAAATAGCATACTAGATCTCAATGAAAGTAAATTTAAAACATATATTAAGCGCGAATTATGTAATCAAGCTTACTACACACTGACAGATTATCTTGAAGATAAGAATGCTTGGCAGCATGTTGGTTCGGCTCCACTGGACAATACTCAAATGTAGTCAGTAGTTAAATTCCAATAGTAGGTAATATAATACATAATTTAATACTTTAATTCTAATGTAGACAATCTAGTTTCCTTATGGCATCGAGCATTTCTTTCTTTATTGAAACAAAGAGTTTCCTTTTTCTTGTATAGAAGCACTATTTCTAT